TTTTAGGAAAAATGTGCCTAAAACAAGCCATTTTTAAAAATCTCCAGTTATGATGTCACAAATGGGGAAAATAGAATAAAACCACCTCTGGTGTGCAACAGACCAGCGGCTCTACTATTAGCTCCTCCTGGATATCAGAGCTTCTCAGCTTCTAGCAGCCTGATCAGTGGATGGGTGGGCGTGGTTAGCACCAGCTTGCTTTCTTAAAGTGACAGAGCCCTGAAATGGCTCATTCTGGAGGGTACTGAAAAACTTTATTTAAGTTTAAAGAACCTCTAGAGCATGCGTTGTTTATCGAACATTGAACAACTCATATTATGTCTCCTTTAGCTTGGAATTTCCACATTTGGATGAAACTTTCTGACTCTCTTAGATTTTTGCCTAAATATTCTTGGAAAACTGTTCACCGTTTTTTATTGAATAAGTCATTTAACTGTCATAGTAGACCAGATCTGTGCGTGCGTAAATGAATAACTAAATAAATATACATACATTTTCACTTTTTAACGCATACTTTCAATCAGCACCCCATACATGATCTTTAAGGGAAGAAAAAATAAAAGGACTGAGCGTCAGAGCGTGAAACAAACGGCGGTACTTTCTTAATATCTGACAATAAAAGTTTGCCGTTCCAAGTTACTGAAGTGTTTTGGTTCAAAATAACAATTACTGCGTGTTCCGTGGGAACTCTGCACACTGTGGCCTAGTTAGGATTAAGAAGTCATGCCACCTCACGGCGCCACTTTACAATCACTATAATCATTAAATAAATAAGGAAAAAGGGTTTTCAGATGCACCCTCCCGGAGCTGTTTCAATTCATTCGCCACTTATGTGGCTCCCTGGTAAACGGATTGTTTTGATCTGGACTGTGTGTGCTGTGTTTGATGACTTTTTCACCTTTCTACTATCCGTCCCACCGCATACGATGAAAAAGGCAGCCTCTGCAGGATGGACATGCAGGTTTGCTTTAAAAAAAGGCTGGTTCAGCTTCGCTCCTTCATCAGTCTGATGTCTAACTGACTTATGTGTGCTCAGCAGTTCATCTCCAACTGGTGGTTCTGGAGTGAGATGGTTGAAGCCAAAGCTGTCCAGATATCCTCAGTCACGGAAGCCACAGCAGCGGTGCCGTAATAAAAGTCATAGTTTTGGCATTATGCCAAGACACTGGCAGAAAAATTCACAAAGCAGATTAAATTGTTTGGATTCAGATGTGATTTTAATCTTTACAGTTCTGCTGAATTATGCATGCCATGAAAGGATTCGTGTCTCAAGAGGTAGCGTGCTCCTGCAGTGAGGGACTTCTTCACGCTGGTGAAGTGACGGACACCGGCCCTGCTACAGAAGGCCAGGGCTTGGGCATTTCTCAGTGTGTCGCCACCTAACAAACGCCCTGCCTCTCCAGGAGATCCTCTGTGTGTTGTCATGGCAGTCCTCCAAACACAGTAGGGACGCACTTAGGAGTTTTGTATTTCCTGTGCTTACAAAACGTCTCAGGCAACCCTGCAGGGAGGCAAGAGATGCTGGTCTCCACAACAGCAGCACAGGAGACCCTCTGGGGTGGAAACAGGCGAGCGCAGGCAGAGACGAGAAGCTAACGAGAGACGACAGAGGCTCTGCAAGTTACTTTGCACTGTATAGACTGCAAACTGAGGCACTCTGTGAGTGTTCTTAGCTTGCCCAAAGCATCAGCCAGAAGCGCTTGACATTCTGATGCAGAGGAGAACGCACAACTGTGTCGTAATTGGATTTGTAAACCAGGAAACCAGGCTGTATTTATAGAAAGCTCTAAGTCGGGGTGAGAGTACAGTAATCTCACCTGTTTTAGTCTGAGTTTATGTCTATTTATGCTCTGCCGGGGTTTGGGACCGCAGATTCCAATCCTAGCTGTTTCCGTTACAAGCATTATAACATACACCTTAAATATTGACCCGTACGCACTCTGTATCATGGTGTCCAGCCACATTTCCCTATAGAGACGCTCTTCACTCCCTGCTTGGATGTCCAGGCTTCCAAAGAAGCTCTTCTTATCTGTGTTGTGTACGTATAAAGTAAAGAAACCATTGTAGAAAGAGTAAACAAATATCTGATGTGTGTGAGATGTCAATGAACCCTAACTTTTAGGAGACTTTTAGCTTCCACATTCCAGCAGTTTGAGGAAGAATGGGTTTGAGGAGAATCAGAAAACACCTCTGGTTCTGAAAAATCTACCTTATTTCTAGATTAATACTTTTTCAAATCAAATTTAGAGATTTGATCAAGCTCCAAAACTCCATAATTATGTGCCAGTGGACATCAGGCAGACTCCATCATGGTGGCTTTCAAAGATAATTGAGAATTTGACCTTTTTTCATTTCCTGGCTTATAACTCACCTGGAGACATTGTAGCTGTTTTATTCTCCTGCTTTTAAACTATTCCCTCTCCGTGTGTTTGTAGACATTTGTGCTTTAAATACGCTGCATGTCGTGCAGCAACTTGTTGCAAACTCACTCAAAACCGCTTCTGACCTTAAAGCATCCAGATGGAGCATCAGGATTAGTACCTTCATCAGAAACCTGACATATCCAGTCCCGTACGTGTCAGCTGCCCCCTGGTGGAGGATCTGCAGGTAGCAAGGGCTAATTCTTTATAACTGTAATTTTGTTTTATAAAGAAATTAAACGGAATATTGCTGCTTACTGATGCAGGTTCTGCTGGGGGTTTCTTTCTTCGTGTTGGGTTATCATTTTCATTGCGTTGTCACAAAAAAGTAGAAAGAGTTTGAAAGACTACGTGTCTGCGGGTGTGGATCGGTTCAATTACTGCTGCTCTGAGCAAAGAGCGATAAGACGAGTTCCTCTTTACACACAAACACAACACGTCTGAATGAGTTTAGGTGTCGGGTCTTTACTTCATGGTGTGAGAAGCTTTTTTTCATCTAACACCCCTTCACCAAATGTCAATTAGCAAATAGGCCCCGCCTACCCATCGAAAGGCCCAGATCATTAGTCTACCCTTTCTCTTTATCCAGGATAGGAGGCAAGGTGGTGCAAACAGAGAGCTGCTAAAGGCAAGCAAATAAAGAATTATAGAGCCTTAAATAGTTGGTTTAAAATGTCTTGTTCTGCGTCCCCCTCATGTGTCTCCTTGTGTTCCCCAGCCCCCTCCAGGTTCTCTCTAGGTTTCCCTTAAGCCGGGCGTACACTGTGCGACTTTTTCACTTTTTTGAGCCGATTTTCCACTCGTGCGAGAATCCACAAGATCGTGGCGAGTTTTGAGCTGAGCGTCGTGTAGTGTACAGGGGGTTACGAGAGGCGATTAACACCACGTGACCAGCTACCGATCAGCAGTCGTGAGCTCGCACAAACTTCTGGCGTGTTTGATATTTTGCTCGTCCCTCGTGAGGGTATCGCGCTGTTGAAGCGGCGCTGCGAGCAGCTGCGACCCAAAAAAGTATCAGAACCGCTCACGGCGCATGCGCAATCCTGCATCAACACCGCTCGTCCGCTATTTCTCTAATACCACACGCTGTTCGTTTTAATTTCTACACGTTTTTTTACTCACAAAGATTGTCAAGAAAGCGTGTTTGTCGTGTTCATGTCAAATTAAACTGATCACAAAACACAGATTTACTTTCTTTATTTCGTTTTCCTCATCCAACCCCCATAAATCCCTGTGTGTCCTCCTGCAGCACTCCCGAAGGACAACAGGCAAAACAAGACAAAAAAGTCTGACGTGTTGTGTAAAAACTGCTATTTTTAGCATATTTTTAGGGCCGACGTGTTGCTACCAGACGTGCAGTGTGAGCGCATGACTCGTGAGATCTGCCCTGCGAGGAAGTCGTACAGTTTGAGCCTAAGCTGAGTGCTACGAGTGAAAAAGTCGCACAGTGTCCGCCCGGCTTTAGTCACCCCACTTATCATTAGGTTTCCGTCATGTTTGGATTATTTAGTCAGTATCTCCCTTTGGTTCATTTTTGCTTCCTTCCCCAGTCAGGTCTGGTTTCCTCCCCTGCTCCTCTCTGTTATTAGTCTCACCTGTGTCCAATTCCCTTAATCACCCAGCCCCTGTGTATATACCTCTGTCTGCGTCTGTGTTGTCGGTCCATTGTTGTGTCCGCGTTGGCTCGTTTCCCCCTCTAGGTATTTGGCTTCCACTAGGTCTCTAGGTTTGTGCTCTTTAAGAGAGCTTTCGTCTCCAGGATTTTTGGACATTGGTTTTTTTGGCTTCCTGCCCTCATTTGATTTATTTGGGGATTTATTCCTAAATAAAGGATTTTATGATTTTTTTCTACCTGCCTTTGTCGTTCTGGGGTTTTCTGCATCTTGGGTCCTAACCTCCTCCTGGCTCACAACGTGACAAAAAATCTTGCAAACACCCACATGCTGATCTCAGGAGTAAATGACGTGGAAACCACAAGGATCTGGGTGTTGTTGGGTTTTGTTTTTTTTTTTTCATTTGTTTTTGGATTAAGCTTTTTATGCTAAAATGCTGAATGCTTGAAATGCCATTAGCTAATGATCAGAGCGTGACGGGAGACAAGCAAGGAGAGGAAGCATGCTAACAAATGTTCTGCAGTACAAAAGGTTACGACCCTGGACAAGATAGGGACACAAAGAGCCTCTCCGCAGATCTCAAGTAAAAGCAGAAATGGCCCGAAGCGTGGAAAGTTAAAACGCCAGTGAAGCAATGCTATCGTTGTTCCGGCTTGGTCATCAGCAATGTGTGTGTGTGAGGCTTTTCTGCAGCTCCACGCTTCCTTGCTTCTTGTCTTACCACGTGAACAGGCATGAACAGCACACCCAACATCACTAAGGCTCCCTTTGAGATAAAAAACAGAGGCAGATGAGTCAGATGCCTGAGAGAATCAAAGTGGCCCTAATGCTTGACTGCCATAGGACAATTCAGGACAATGAGCCATCATCATTCATACTTCCCTCATGACAGGTAACTGACATTTTACCTGTCTTGCTGAAAAGAAAACAAATTCAATTCAAATTCAAAGATATTTTATTAATCCCAGAAGGAAATTAGAGTTTCAGTACACACAATTCTGAGATCAGACATACATAGGCATACACACATGACAAGAATTGGTGACTTGGTCATTCGCAACCCGAGTCACGCCACCTTAATAGAGCTCAGAGGGGTTACATGATGATTGGGTCAGGTGGAGGAAAAAAATGGCCCTTCAGTTACCCTCTACAGGGAGGACAGCTTTGCTATGCAAAAAAAAAAAAACACCTCAGACAGATATGCAACAGACGTCAGACATAACTGTCATGATGGGTGGTAATTTCTTAACCCACATGAAGTATCACTCAGGGATAAGGTAAGAGATGATAATAAAATCTTTATTTTATAAAGAAAACAAAGCAAAAACTGAGGGCGCTGATCCAAACGGGACAGGAAACAAGGCAACTCCGACTCTAAGAAGAACGGTGAGTGTGATTGGAAACTGAGAACCAGGAGATGAATAATCATGAGAGGAACAGGCTTACTGAGTTGAGCAGGACGAGGGGCAGGAGGGAGAGGCAAGTCAGGTTGATGCAGGGAGGAGATGGTCGCTGGAGGTGATGCTGGATCCAGGAAGGCAGGTGAGCGGTGGAGAGCAGGAGGCCAGGGAAGCTGAACGACGCTTGTGATAAATCACACCTCAGGCAGGTGGAGGGAATCCAGGGCTGGTACAGACAAGAATGCAGAGCTGGGTTAGTTCAGGTAAACGAGTCTTAAAGTCAAGGCACAGATAAGGACATGGCTAGATGTACCCAACAGTAGAGTATCAACCGGCGTTCAGATGTGGCAGCACCGCTCCTTAAATCCTCTGGCCAGGCTGATGGCAATTAGCTGCAGCTGCTGCAGCTGCTGCTGCTGCTCCCCAACACACTCACCTGCAAACAATGAAGGGGAAATAGCAGCAGAAGCAGAGAGAAGGCAGAACCATGACAATCACACAACATAAGTGTCCACTCCATGGGGAGGTAGGGTTGGGGACTCTCCTAACATCAGTGCATGCAGCTGCGATAAGCAAGACTCATCACCTCCGTTTGGACAGGGGAAGGAGGTAATTGGGTTAGAGAGCACAGAGACTCCTGGAAACGATTCAACGGCCTTCACCGGTCGCAGTCCCGCCCAGGCTGGAAGCGCCGTACACCCAGAGACAGACAAAGAGCCTTGGGGAAAGACAGGGAGGCGAGGAAGAAAAAAGTGTCTGAACTCTCCAAGAGCCAGAAGATGAAACAAAGATTTAAGAAAAAATACGACTTAAAAAAAAACCTTTTAACAAAGAAAACTTGTTTAAAAAGCTTTAATTTGGTGTCTTGACATGTAATGATCCAATTACTTCCCCTCTCCATGTTGGCGTCGTCTCTAGGTTGAACCCTACAGGTGTCCAGAAAGCAGACAAAGAAACACCACGAGACATCTTTTATAGCTGTTTTTATGGTCTACTTACTTTGGCCAGTCCATTAACCAAAGACGTCTCTCTCAATGCCCCGTCAAGTGTGTTCTGAGAACTTTGTGGGAGTGCAGCCAGCCTGGGCCAAACAGACTCTGTTGATGACCACCTCACGGGTGTTTGAAGGGTTATTTCAGCCGTTTTGAAGTGTGTTTTTATTTGTATGACTACCACAACTTCCTGAATGGCCTCATTTCTGAGAAATGGTTTATGTCAGAACTGACATGCTAACGGCTAGTCTGAACATACCTAATTTCATAGCAACAGCCCTCTACACCACAGCTACCTTTAGATTACACTGTGGTGGAATTTTATTTACTAGAGTAAAAAAGATGAGAAAAAGCTCAATGAAACATTTTGGTTTTGTTTAAGTTTATGTGTCAATATCGGGCAATGTAATTTTTCACATTTATCCCAAAAGAGAGATTGCACCAGGCAGTGGCAGTACTTGGTCAATTTTTATCCTAACCCCCAAATTCCACTACCTCCGCTCCGCTCCGCTCCGACACGAATGCCGGAGCAAAATCGGTCCCGTTGTAGTCAATCGGAGCAATTCCACTACTGCGGCCGTGCTCCGGCAGTGCGGCGCCATGTGCCGCCCTCTGTTCCGGCGTCCGGCAAAAATAGAATCGATCCTATTTTCGCCGGACGCCGGAGCACCTCCGCAGTAAATGGACAGAAATCACAACGGCCCAACAGGAAAAGGAGCAAGCACAATTTCCATTTTTCACAATAAATCGATAAACAAAAGGCGTTTTTTGTTTCATATGCACAGGTTTAACAACTTTTAACAACTATCAATGGCGGCTGAAGTTTAAATGCACAAAAGTAAGCCATAAATACAGTTTCTACTATCAAAGTAGTCAGACTTTGTTGATCCAAACACTGCTGATATCTCAACACAAATGATGGGCAGATTAAACAGTTCGTTTCGATGCTTCTCCCACACAACGGGTGTTTGGATCTAACTTCCGCGTTTATTGCTCGGACTGTATCGCAAGATCTCGAAAATCCCGCGCATGCCTGTTTGCCCCCCTCAGGTCTCCGCACCGGAGCGGAGCCGTTGTAGAGCGGGTACCAGTAAAAACTGAGTTCGGAAGCGAGCGGCTGCGGAAGACGGGGGCGGACCGGGGCGGAGCGGAGGTAGTGGAATTTGGGGGTTAGCCTGTCAAAGGCAGGAAAACTAAATATCCAAATCAGATTGGTTGGACTGATATTTGCAGCATGTTTGACACATGGGAGAGAAAATCCAAGTCTTGTAAATATATAAAATAAACTACACGACAGACATTAAAGTAACAGTATATTTTTCTTGGCGATAGGGGGCAGTAGATACCTAAATCCTTGCAAGCAAGCTTTATTTTTGTGATTGGGAGGAACGGCCCACCTAATCTGAACTCGAGCGGTGTTTTGTTATTGGACTTCTGTGCAAGCCGCAGTTTAGCCATAACGAACACCATGTTCGAACATAAGGATGCCCACCGGTACACTTGGTACCAGGGCAGCCTAGGTCACAGGTCGATGATAGATTTTGTAGTCGTATCATCTGACCTGCGGCCGTATGTTTTGGACACCCGAGTGAAGAGAGGGGCGGAGCTGTCAACTGATCACCACCTGGTGGTGAGTTGGATCAGATGGCAAGGGAACATGCCGCGTAGACCTGCAGACCCAAACGCATAGTGAGGGTCTGCTGGGAACGCCTGGCAGAAGAACCTGTCAAGACGGTCTTCAACTCCCACCTCCGGCAGAGCTTTGACCACGTCCCGAGAGCAGTGGGGGACATTGAGTCCGAGTGGGCCTTGTTCCACTCTGCGATTGTCGAGGCGGCTGTTGCTAGCTGTGGTCGTAAGGTGGCCGGTGCCAGTCGTGGTGGCAACCCCCGTACCCGCTGGTGGACACCAGAGGTTCGGGGAGCCGTCAGGCTGAAGAAGGAGGCCTACAGGGGTGGCTGGTCTGTGGGTCTCCGGAGGCAGCAGACAGGTACCGGATAGCCAAGCGGGGTGCAGCAGTGGCAGTTGCCGAGGCAAAATCTCGGGCGTGGGAGGAGTTTCGGTGAGACCATGGAGCAAGACGTCCGTACAGCTTCGAGGAGATTCTGGTCCACCATCCGGCGCCTCACGGGGGGAAGCAGTGCATTACCAACACTATCTATAGTGGGGACGGTGTGCTGCTGACCTCTACTCAGGACGTTGTGGATCGGTGCGCAGAATACTTCGAACACCTCCTCAATCCCACCGACACGTCTTCCAGTGAGGAAGCAGAGTCTGGGGACTTTGACTTGGCCTCTCAAATCTCTGGTGCTGAGATCACTGAGGTGGTTAAAAAGCTCCTCTGTGGCAAGGCTCTGGGGGTGGATGAGATCCGCCCAGAGTTCCTTAAGGCTCTGGATGTTGTGGGGCTGTGTTAGCTGATGCGGCTCTGCAATATCGCGTGGACATCGGGGGCAGTCCCACTGGACTGGCAGACCGGGGTGGTGATCCCCTTATTTAAAAAGGGGGACCGCAGGGTGTGCTCCAACTACAGGGGGATCACACTCCTGAGACTTCTTGGTAAGGTCTATTCAGGGGTTCTGGAGAGGAGGGTCCATCGTATTGTTGAACCTCAGATTCAGGAGGAGCAATGTGGTTTTGGTCCTGGCCGTGGAACACTGGACCAGCTCTATACCCTTAGGAGGATCCTGGAGGGTGCGTGGGAATTTGCCCAACCAGTCTACATGTGTTTTGTGGATTTGGAGAAGGCGTTTGCCCGCATCCCTCGGGGGGCCCTGTGGGGGGTACTCCGGGAGGATGGGGTACCAGGCCCTCTGATATGGGCTGTTAGGTCCCTGTATGACCGGTGTCAGAGCTTGGTCCACATTGCCGGTAGTGTCGGGCTCGTTGCCTGTGAGAGTTGGACTCCGCCAAGGCTGCCCTTTGTCACGATTCTGTTCATAACCTTTATGGACAGGATTTCTAGGCGCAGCCAAGGTGTGGATGGCATCCGTTTTGGTGGCCTGAGGATCAGGTCTCTGCTTTTTGCAGATGATGTGGTCCTGTTGGCTTCATCAGAACGTGATCTTCAGCTTTCGCTGGAGCGGTTTGCAGCCGAGTGTGTAGCAGCTGGGATGAGAATCAGCTCCTCTAAATCTGAGACCATGGTCTTGATTCGGAAAAGGGTAGAATGCCTTCTCCGGGTCAGGGATAAGGTCCTGCCCCAAGTGGGGGAGTTTAAGTATCTCGGGGTCTTGTTCACAAGTGAGGGAAAACTGGAGCGTGAGATCGATAGGCGGATTGGTGCTGCATCTGCAGTGACGCGGGCGTTGTACCGGTCTGTGGTGGTGAAGAGAGAGCTGAGTCAGAAGGCGAAGCTCTCGATTTACCGGTCGATCTACGTTCCTACCCTCACCTATGGTCATGAGCTTTGGGTAGTGGCCGAAAGAACGAGATCACGGATACAAGTGGCCGAAATAAGTTATGTCCGCAGAGTGGCTGGGATCTCCCTTAGAGATAGGGTGAGAAGCTCGGTCATCCAGGAGGGGCTCGGAGTAGACCCGCTGCTCCTCCACATTGAGAGGAGCCAGTTGAGGTGGCTCGGGCGTCTGGTCAGGATGCCTCCCGGACGCCTCTCTGGTGAGGTTTTCTGGGCACGTCCAACGGGGAGGAGACCTAAAGGTAGACCCAGGACACGGTGGAGGGACTATGCCTCTCACCTGGCCAGGGAATGCCTTGGGGTTCCCCCAGAGGAGCTGGCCCAAGTGGCTGGGGAGAGGGAAGTCTGGGCCTCTCGCCTTAAGCCGGGCGTACACTGTGCGACTTTTTCACTCGTAGCACTCAGCTTCAGCTCAAACTGTACAACTTCCTCGCAGGGCAGATCTCACGAGTCATGTGCTCACACTGTACAACCCGGTTCTCGGATGCGACCTGACTGCTCACACTGTACGTCTGGTAGCAACACGTCGGCCCTAAAAATATGCTAAAAATAGCAGTTTTTACTCAACACGTCAGACTTTTTTGTCTTGTTTTGCCTGTTGTCCTTCGGGAGTGCTGCAGGAGGACACACAGGGATTTATGGGGGTTGGATGAGGAAAACGAAATAAAGAAAGTAAATCTGTGTTTTGTGATCAGTTTAATTTGACATGAACACGACAAGCACGCTTTCTTGACAATCTTTGCGAGTAAAAAAACGTGTAGAAATAAAAACGAACAGCGTGTGTTATTAGGGAAATAGCGGGCGAGCGCTGTTGATGCAGGATTGCGCATGCGCCGTGAGCGGTTCTGGTACTTTTTGGGTCGCAGCTGCTCGCAGCGCCGCTTCAACAGCGCAATACCCTCACGAGGGATGAGCAAAATATTAAACACGCCAGAAGTTTGTGCGAGCTCACGATTGCTGATCGGCAGCTGGTCACGTGGTGTTAATCACCTCTCGTAACCCCCTGCACACTACACGACCGCTCGGCGCAAAACTCGCCCCGATCTTGTGGAGTCTCGCACGAGTGGAAAATCGGCTCAAAAAAGTGAAAAAGTCGCACAGTGTACGCCCGGCTTTAGGCTACTGCCCCCGCGGCCCGACTCCGGATAAGCAGATGGATAGATGGATGGGCATGGGGCCAGAATACATGTAGGATCTCCTTCCTGTATCTACGCCCAGCAGGGCTCTGAGGTCCTTAGGAACCAGTCAGCTGGTAGAACCTCGGGTCAGAACCAAACAGGGTGAAGCTGCTTTTAGCTCCTATGCTGCAGACAGATGGATTCAGCTTCCTCATGACCTCAAATGTGCCCCAACTCTAGAAACTTTTAAATCAAAGTTGAAAACCCTCATGCTTTCATCAGCCTTTGAATAAATGTTCTTACACTTTCTGCACTGTAGTTGCTCACCTTTTAATTATTAAATTGTATTTTCTGTCATGTTGATTTTAATGTTCTTGCTATTCTTGCCAATGGAATGCACATTGAATTGCCTCTGTGTATGAAATGTGCTATAAATATAAAGCTGCCTTGATAACATCTGCTAATTATGAACTCTGTCTCTGAACTGAGGCTGTTCCGGAAGCAGCCTACAGAAATGATTAAAAATGTTAATATAGAAACACATTTGAAAATGTCCGAAATACGCCTTTAATAGTACTGTTTAATGTGATAGGTAATGTGATTAATAAAACGATCAAGAATTCCAGACAGAGTGAATTCAACACACATCAGGGAACTAATTTGTGTCTAAGGCTCAGGTTGTACTGTAACGCCAATCTATGAGGGGACGCTACCATCCCCCTCCTGGAAGACGGGCACAGAGGTAATCAATGAGTCATGTGTCCTGATTACAACCAACTCCCTACGGAGCATCTTCAAAGGGCTCCAGAGGACACGGAGAGAGGGAGAGGCATTGCCCTCCATGGGGTAATTACAGGTTGAGGCTCTACCTCCTTTCAGTGGACAGCCAAGCTTAAAGACAGACCAGTTAACAATTCATCCAGTCTTGTTAGCGCAGCGGGATGCTCCTCCAAGCACTGATCAACGACTGCTAGAGCCTGCCACCTGAAATTAAACAAATCCCTCCTCAAGCCTACACCAGAAACCTGCAGGAGCGGGCTAGGTGAGAGTGACCGATGACGCCACTGAAGAATACTGGACCAGAAACAAAGGAAAAGCATGCAGATTCAGATTTGGTGCAGCTGAGTACACAAGTGTCTCTGAAAAACAATCTGGGTGTTTGAGGGTTAAGAGGACCTTGAAACTAAACACACACTCCATAATTGTCTGGTAACATTTAAGGTCCTTTGTTTTCATCCCCGTTTCCACCCACAGCCTGTCCAGCTACGGGCACACACACACACACACACACACACACACACACACACACACACACACACACACACAAAAGGATGGATGGATACACACGCTTACTCAGTTTTAACACTAGCTGTACCCCACCTAAACAAGTCAAAACAAAAAATAAGTGAAATTTATAGATGATAGATGATGCCTCATCATTTTAGCTGTAAAATGCTGTTGGTTAGCATTTAAAGTGATGACGGTGGAGACAGCGGGGCTGAAGACGTCTTTTAGGTAAAGACTGCCAAATCCTGTCTGCACGTTACAAAGAGCCAGAGAGAGGTGATCAGAGACAAAACAGTCATTAGCATAAGCTGCTTTTACTGAGGAAAAGTAAGAAAACAACGACTAATGCGTGCGTGTGTGTCCTGTGTTATGAGGTTAATTAGGAAATTTCCATTCTGAAGGTCTCAAAATAAAGAACTGATTTCATTGGTCTTGAGTTTATGTTGAAAGCAAAGTGTAATAAACATAAGATGGGATTCATATGATTGAAAACAGACATTTCAGAATGCAGTTTAGCCATTTTGCAACACACTGATTTATTCCTCCTATGAATAAAAGAATAAACACACATGTATGCGTGCTATAACCTTTGGAATAAGCGTCTGCTGGATAAATAAACACAAACTTCTTTGCAGGGTGGATCAGGCACAAGAAGAGCGTGGATCCTAAACGACATACACCACTGCCCTCCTGTGGACAGAATGATTTCAGCTGTAACGAAAGCCGCTATCGTCTCTCTAAATTCTACAAAGTACTTGAAACATTTACAATAAATTCAATCAAACTCCAAATATTTGATACGCAAAAATGGTTCTGCCACAATCAGGATGTGGATCAGACGTGATTGATGCGTGCCAGGGTAAACTGACACTAAAAGCCTCTGAAACATAAAATACATGTAATAACTTAATATGACAATTTCTAAAGGCTCTTTTTACATTTAATTGTGTGTTTTGATATCTGTTTTTACCTGCTTTTACTAACTGTTTTATTTTGTATTCTTTATTCTCCGTCTTATGTTGGGAGGTGCTTTGGTCAGCTCCCATGCTGTTTTTAAATGTGCTGTGTAAATAAACTGGTATGGTATGGTAACACAGTTTAGTCAATCTATTGTCGTTTGCAATGTAATAACCACAAATGTTCCTTGATCATCTTCTCCTAAAGAAATGTTCTGATTTCCGAAGAGGTGTTCCTCTTTGCATAATTGTGACATCACAATTATTTGTGGTTCTTGCAAGAAAATTGCTTATCTAAGTTGTAATTACTAAATATATTAATTTATTCATGAACTATAATCATAGAGTTGTTACTTCAAGATAATGCATTGAAAAATATTCTGAGCATGGGAAGTTTGTTTGGCTTCTGCAGCCAGAAACTTTAACTTAGATATAATACTACTACTACTACTACTTGTCAGTTTTGGGGATGTTTAGGACCCAAATATGCAGAAACCCAGGATGACACGAGGCTGGAGATGATGTAAAGTAAATATGCTTTATTTTGCAGGACGAACAAAAATAAATCCAAAGGCAGCGAGCCAAAAGTCCAAAAATCCAAAAACCCTGGTAACAAAACCAAAAGCTCACTAAGAGCACCAAAACCTGGAGCCATAAGCTCACCAAGAGCACGAAACAACGCTGACAAACATACAAACACAATGGACCGACATGACACTGAGACAGGACAGGGCTTAAATACACAGGGAGGATGAGAGGGAGATGAGCTGCAGGTGTGTGGGGTGTGGGAGGAAGACCAGGTGAAGGCAATGACTAAATCAGGGAGGAGGAAGAAAACACTGGTGGGAAAAACACACTAAATACTGAAAGGCTGTAACAAAGGAAAATGACCTAAGAGAAAAACAAAAGACCAGAAAGCATGAACCATGACTAATATACTAGGGGGAAGCTGACACTAAAGGAAAACACCATAGAAAGAAACAGCAGGGGCGTAGCTAAGAGGGGGCCAAGAGAGCACAGGACCTGGGAGAGGGATGTCTGAGGGGGGAAACCTAGAGGGCAAATGGGGAACACCAGGAGACACATGGGGAAGATGCAGACATGACACATGAGGGCGCTAGAAGACACAAAAGGAGCACCTAGAGAGGATGGAGAAACACCAGGAGGCACATGAAGGAAGGGGCAGACGCAGACCAAGACACTACTACTACTGCTACTACTACTATTACTAATAAAAATAATAGTAATATCAAAATAAATAATAATAATAATAATAATAATAATAATTATAGTAATAATAAAAATAATGCACATGTTGATTAAAGAATAAAAAATAATCTGTATTTTTGTCACTTGTCTGTTTCAAAATCTGCAATTAAAATCAAACAACATCAAACTTTGATGTAAAAGTTTCTTGTTCATAGTTAGAATTAAACTTCATATATTCAAACTTCCTTCATAACATTTATGGACAGGATTTCTAGGTGCAGCCAAGGTGTTGAGGGGATCCATTTTGGTGGCCTGGGGATCAGGTCTGCTTTTTGCAGATGATGTGGCGCTGTTGGCTTCACCAGAACACGATCTCCAGCTTTCACTGGAGCGTTTCGCAGCCGAGTATGAATCAGCTGAGAAGACAGTCAGCTCCTAAATCTGAGCCCGTGGTCTTGAATTGGCATGTGATAGTGTAGGCATCCTGTCACAGTGTCCCGATTGATCATGCGCCCTGGCTACTTGGCCAAGGGGATGTCCCTTTGGCTGACTGGTAAGCACGCGTTACTCTCACCCGTGAGTCTGGGGATCGAATCCCGCCCGGGCCCTCGTTACTCCACCTTGCCACAGGCAGAATGCCTTCACCAGGTCAGAGATGAGGTTCTGCCCCAAGTGGAGGAGTTTAAGTATCTCGGGGTCTTGTTCATGAGTGAGGGAAAGATGGAGGACGAGATCGACAGGCGGATTGATGCGTCTGCAGTGATGCAAGTGTAGTACCGATCTGTCATGGTGAAGAGAGAGTGATCCAGAAGGAAAATCTGGATTTACCAGTCAATCTACGTTCATACCCCCACGCTCACGAGCTTTGGGTAGTGACTGAAAGAACAAGATCACAGATACAAGCGGCCGAAATTAGTTTTCTCCGCGTGGTGGCTGGGCTCTCCCTTAGAGATAAGGTGAGAAGATAGATCATCCGGGAGGAGGTGGGAGTAAATCCACTGCTCCTCCACATCAAGAGGAGCCAGTTGAAGTGGCTCAGGCATCTGATTAGGATGCCTTCTTGACACCTCCCTGGTGAGGTCCAACCAGGAGGAGACCTAAAGGTAGACCCAGGACACGCTGGAGGGACTATGTCTTCCCTGGCCAGGTAACACCTTGGGATTCCCTCAGAAGAGTTGGCCCAAGTGGCTGGGAAGACGGATGTGTGGGCCTCTCGACTTAGGCTGCTGCCCCCACGACCCGGCCGGATAAGCGGAAGAAAATAGATAGATGCATGGACGTTGTTCTGACTTTGCAAGTGGGGGAGGGGACACAACTGGCATGAAGACTGGGTGGGGGTGGGGTCTTTACTGTAAGTATGTGTGAAACTACAGACTAGAGGCTCTGACAAGTACACAGTTGGCAGGAATGGCCAATCACACGTTAGCAATTATCGGCAGAGCCAATAGGTGAGCTTATGGACGGTTCTAATGGGAAAGTGGTTGTTTTCTTCTTGGTCCAATAGCTCAACCAGTGTTGATTTAATATGGCAGCATATTGTTTTTGGACAGTAAAATGTGCAGGGGACAAAAAGTGTGTGTGTGTGTGTGTGTGTGTGTGGGGGGGGGGGGGGGGGGGTCCTCCCGTCCTGTCCCCCTCAAAAAAACTCCATCCGTGGATGGATAGATGTTAAAAGTTAAAACTTTACACTGTATTTTTCCTGTTATTTCAAAATGTTTTCATATTTCAGATATGAATGAGTATATAAGAAAACAATGAGCGCAATTCATGCGTTAACCGTACAAGTTATTTGGTATATCGTGAAAAGGAATGACAGAGAAACTTTTCTGGTTATTAAAATATTACATCACACGTTTCTGCTTTGTTTTTGCCAGAGTGACAAGAGAACGCTTCTATGTCCTAAGGCATGACGTTTCTGAATACGTTTTTTTAAGTAGAAAACAATCCTTCCCTAAATGGATATAATGTTAACATTTCCCGACCGCACCTGAAGGCACCATCACACCCTAATTTTTCCAAACATCCGGGGCATTTTCAGCCCAGCAGTGTGTGGACAGTGGAGAACGGTGGAGATCCGTGGAAAGAAAGGCGGACTGATGACAGCTGTCAGTGTGGACAAAAACTACTAATCTGTGGGGTGAAATCGAATGACTTGCTCTTGAAGGGACAACACCTTGACAGGATCGCGATTGTGTTATTATTTTAAAACTGTCGTAAAGGTAACGTGCTCATTTTGGTCTTGGAAATATGACGGGAGAGTCAGTCAGTTTGTCCTGGCTGTCTCTCAGGAGCGTCTAGGTTAGCCCCGCTAGCTAACTTAGCTAACTATCTAGCTAGGATTCATGAAGCTTCTTAAGGTTGTTTTCGGAGCTGCCATCAAGAGGACGGACAGTTCTCGGCTTGTTAAGCGTTTGAATTATTAATGGCTCGCTATGAGTTTATTGGTTTAAACTTTTAATGACATTTCTGAGAGCAAGTAATGCTAGTTAGCATTCCCAAAGTTAGCTTACTGAAGAGGTGGCTACTCACATTAACGCAAGTGAACTGGCCAGTAACAACAAATGGCGTTTACTGTGGTAACTTACGGTGGTTTATATTGGTCGTCAATATCAAATTTATTTTCTGTGCATTATTAGCTGGTGGGTACATTTGATTAGGCTTGAGTGTATGTGTGTGCTAACGTTTCAGCTGACTGTTGTGACTTAAGGTGTGTTATCTTTGTCATCTTCAAACTTGATCTAATTTCTTCATTTCCTGATCAGATAACTGTCATTAACATTAGTAGTTTTGTACCTGTGAATTTAAATATTCAATTTGAATGATCTGGACTCCTTGATTATTTGACTATTAAATACAGTCTGCCTTGAAGGCACTAACTAGCTGCAGTCACAATATTAATCTCACACATTTATATTTTAATGTAAGTGAGTCTAATCACATAATAATCGTGGATAGGTTTGTTTTAAATTAACTTATGTTTTCCTAATGTGTTTACAGGCTGATTTATGAGGCTGCACAGATCCTAAATGTCACATTAAAGCTGGTTCTTGTCAGCCACAACTGTTTTATCAGGAGTCCAAATGGGGTTCATACATGATGGACTGTCTGTTTTTGCAGGAATGGATGGGAGGCCCAGGGGAATGTGTGGGCTGTTGCATGCACAGTTAAAAGCGGGAGAAAGTAAACACAACCATATCAATATAGTCACTCGTGAACGACCATCTTCTGTACACAGTTTACTCAGTGTTACTGTAGTGTTTGGGTTTGTTTCCAGACCTGTTTAAACTGTTTTCTTTAGCATCTGCTCTTCACCGTTTTTTACAAACACAACTGTCGATGTTCCAGGTTCACACTAAATTGGTGACATTCCAGTGGCGGCACTGACATGGGGACACAAGGCACTGGCAGGAAGCGTGCTCCTTTAAAAGATCGCTTCTCAGCAGAAGATGAGGCTTTGAGTAGTATCGCTCGGGAGGTAAGTTCATGTTTCGTCACACAAGTCCATTTTGATGCAGAACACCGATCAATCTGCATCTTGTTCTCTAAGAGCCTCTCTGCTCCTGAGTTGAAGCAAATAATGTTTTACGCCGCTCTGATGTTCTTGTTTTACCTCGGGTATAGGTTGAACATTGATTTGTCATTTCTGTGTGTTGATAACGTGAGCAGCAGGACCATCGCCGTTTTAAGTAAAGGAAACACGAGCAGGCTGATCTGATGCTAACAGTTTGAAAGCCTTTATGCAAGATAATCAGATCTTTGAATATTTATTGTATGAGTTCCATTGCTTGTATTGGAAAAAAGCAAATTCCCTTATAATGCATTAGGGCTCATTTATTGAATATAGAATGCATAAATATAAAGAAAACTTTGACACCAGTGTTCTTCAAACAGTGACCTAATTCTAAAACAAACAAATGACTACGTTTGGATGATAAATATCACATAAGCGGCTGAGTTTGTAACCCTTATTTTATCTCGATGAGTCGGATTTGAGGCTTGTCTACAAAATTCCCATCAGACTGTTTCTGAGGGTTGTCTACAGGCTTGATGGAAAACAAGAGCTTCAGGGTAAATAATCATTTCATTTGTTTTTGTCAAAGCTGGAGCAGCAAAATATATCTTCATGTGGATATTCAGGTTTTTGCTGTTTGATGTTTGTTTTGGGGCAAATGAGTCGAAGAAGTCCGTCTGAGGCTTCAGAGCGTTTGAAAGTGTTTTTGTTTGAGAGAGAAAATCCAGGTAGAAGAGAGATGCAACCAAACCTGTAACAACATGCCCTGGGATTATTCCATTTTTCTTCCACAGCAAGCCATCCGTTCCTTAGCTTTTTTTGTTGTAGCCATTAAACATAAAATTCAAATTTCTGAGGTTTTCCATGACTGGCAGGTATTTAGAAATCTGGTACGAACCGTGCACGTCTCATCAAATCAGTTGAGATCATTGCAGCTAAATGTTGGTTAAATCAGTTAGTGAATAGATTTATGGTCCTTTTGTAAAGCTGCTCGACAGCAAATGCAAGGCCCCCTTAGCTCTCTTAACAGTCGTGCTGGCCGATCATAGTAACATGAGTCATCTGACCCTCCCTGTCGGGTCCTAAATCTGAATCTCTTTGTGGAGCAAATGAAAGATTAGATCCCGTGTGCGATGGGTTCAGTGGGTCAGTGTAACTTGTGCATCACTTCCTTCCCAAACCAATCCTCATAATGCAGCTTCTGCTTCATGGCTAAGAGAAGTTAAAGCCAGCCTGTCTGTGCCTGGCATGCTCGGTGAATAACCGATACCAACTGATTACATGGATGGGATCATTGTATCAAGTATAGTGGTGAAAAGATTGTGTAGCACTACAGATTTATTAGTCGTACATCAGTCAGGGTATCCGCGGGTCCTTAAAAAGTCTTAAAAAGTCTTAAATTTGCTTTTCCAAATTTAAGGCCTTGAAAATCCTTAAAAGTGACAAATAATCCTTAAATCCAGTTTCCAAAGGTCTTAAATGACCAAAGACCAAATAAACAAGATTATTTTATTTCTATAAAATTTTCGTGAGTTTCCACTGTTCTGCATTTTTTGTGTACGATGTTGGCGTAAGCGGAACCGTACACGTTCAGTTGGTTGTGAAAGGGGGCTATTTTTAGATGAACACATTAGCTGGTTAAGCTAGTGGGAGCTTGCACCATGGGGAAGTGAAAGTTTAATGGTAACTGGATGGCTAATCCCAAGTTTGCGACGTGGTTAGCGCTGTTTCCAGGCAATAGCTGGAAATTTATGGCTTAAATTTAATTTTAAAAATAGTTAAAAATAGCTTAAATTTGGTCAAAGTGGCCTTAAAATGGTCTTAAAAAGTCTTAAATTTGGCTCCTTTAAACCTGCAGATACCCTGATCAGTGTATTTATTACAGATTTTATCCAGTGTTTTTTCTAATGTTGCATTTAGGTTTATGAAGGTTGTGAAATCTTTACATTATTAATTCATACATTTTTTTGTTTTTCTGGAGCTCGAATGTCTTAAAGTTGTATCTTTTCTCACCTGATTCTGAGCTCCAAATGCTCCAAATGCCCCAATTATTTTCTCTGGAGCCACTTTGAATAAAGAGTTGGTATTTGCATGCTTTTGATGGGTCACTGAGCAGTTATTACACGGGGTTGGAGGTGTGTTGTAGTGGTGACGTTGTGCTGCTCAGGTTACCCTCCCAGGCCCGTGATGCAGCTCAAAGTCAGGCGTGGATGGGCTTGTCTATAGATAGGTCAGAGACGTCGGGTTCAGCTGTGCTGCTGTGTAGAGCAGGTCATACTGTCAGACGACTCAACAGGTGCAGAGCACACAGCCAGCAGTCCTGCCTGCTTGCTCATTTGCACTCTTATGAAGCATTAACCCCGGCTTCACAGTACCCCAAACAAAGATTTGTTGTGATTGTCTAACAGGTATCAAACAGACCCCAAAAATACAAAAATACTAATAGATATTGGCTTTGAAGTAACTTGGGAGAGTAAGTAAGTACTAAGTAGGTTGAAAAATGGCTGATCTATTAGTGTCTGAGCTCAGCTGGTTTTGCTAACCCATGCGTGTGGAGTAAAAAACAACCAACTGTGAGCAAATCGGTGTTTACATATCTCCATGTAGGAACCAGTTTGTGTTCAATGTGCAATGCCCCCTTTTGGCCTATAGGTGTCACTTTGGAAACTATGAAAGGGAGACCTTTCATTAAAGAGCAAGTCACCCCCAAATCAACTATTTTTTTCTGATAAACTATATAAATGAGTGTCTAATCGTGCTGCAGACACATGTAGTCAATAGTTTTGCACTTTAGTACATTTTAGTTCAAATTTAAATTTTCTGTCTGAAACTGTCAGTGTTGTGCCGTTGTCAGGTAAAAACTCTTCACTGTATTTTAATTTAAATCTGCCATCGCTATTGGCTAAGAGGTACCCTATGATGTAAACTGGTACATTATGATGTCACAATGTCGTGAGTGTGTGTATTTGTTAGTGGCTCCACCCTCTCGGTCTGCTAGGCAACATCATTTGTTGCATTTTTCAAACATGAAGTGGGAGTGAAGTACGCTTCTTGTAGGGGGTGACTTGCTCTTTAAAGAGCAAGTCACCCCCAAATAAACTTTTTTTTGCTGATAAACTAAATAAACGAGTGTCTAATCGTGCTGCAGACACTTGTAGTCAATAATTTGGCACTTCAGTGCATCTTAGTAAAAATTTAAATATTCTGCCTAAAACAGGCAGTGTTGTGCCGTTGTCAGGTAAAAACTCTGCACTGTATTTTAATTTAAATCTGCCATCGCTATTGGCTAAGAAGTATGCTATGATGTAAACTGGTACATTATGATGTCACAATGCTGTCGTGAGCCTGAGTGTGTGTGTATTTGTTAGCGGCTCCGCCCCCTCGGTCTGCTAGGCAACAGCATGTGTTGCATTTATCAAACATGAAGTGGGAGTGAAGTACGCTTCTTGTAGGGGGTGACTTGCTCTTTAAGGTGACAGGTGTAGTCTGTTTTGTGTTGCCATGCATTCATGTTTGGAACTTTGGAACTTGTGAACATTGGATTTTCACGATACTTCCTGGTAATCAAGTTACCTGGATGGAATCGGTCTTATTGTTATCGTCATGTCAACAATCAAAACAGCTGTAGCACAGGTGGCGCGCATGCCGACCCGCTTACCAAACACCTCAATGGCTGTAAGTGTAGACGTAGCTGCCATGCTTGGTGATATGCTCGCGGTGCAAGAGACCAAGACGTCATCTCTGGTAGGTTTTCTTTGTCAGAAAGCTCAGCGTAGTGTGATGTGCTCAATTTAATTAATTAAAATAAGTTTGTTGGGTCATTAATACCTTTACATTTAACTACAATCATCACCCGCTTTCTGTAATATTATCACTGCAAAACAAGAGGTGTTGTGTTTTGTTGAGTCCAGGTTGGTATTGAAACAGGAACACCTAAACTCGGAGGTCTTTTGTTTTGGCATTGCAGATAAGAAACTGCTGGAATGCTGATAGTGGGATACTGTACAGACTAGCACTGGTATTTATGGTCTTAGTTTCTGATAAAAGGCTGGACTCTGTGAACTTGAGTGCCATTCTTTGTAGATGTAATGTTTAGTCTTTGATTATGTGCAGCACATAGTGACTAATGAAGCCGTGATAGAAGAACGGAGCGCAGGGTGATCTGCGTGGCCATCACCCCCCACCTCCAGGCTGTCCGGGGGATGCTTTAATTATTGCCTTCTGCCGAGGAACTTTGTAAAATTAGCTCCTGCTTAGATTCTAACTCAGTTGGGGAGCATTTAAAACTATTTCCACATATCCCTAAAGGAGTTTTTATTGGATTTAGCTTGGCTTTTGCATTCGTGTTTATGATTAAAGTTCAGCTCTTGAGATTTCGTGGAGTTTTCTGTGTTTACAGTCTGACTAGAAGCACTATTCCTTTGTATGCAGTTTGATTCTTCCCCATGAGGGTTTTGAATTACCCCTCCTGAAGTTGATAGTTCACACATGTTTGGACAGAGGTAGCGCTTGGAGATAAAACCAGTCGTGGGAGATCCTATTGAGGTCTTTGTACCAATAACAGAATAGACAGTGCCTTTCAGACACCGTCCGTGACTCTTTTTCTAATTTTAAGGATATTTCATACGTATTGAAAATTGTCAGAGGAAATTGTTGTTTTTTAAATTAAAGATGTTGAATATTCTATGTATTTGTCTGTTATGCACCTACCACTGGGCTCAGGATGGGCAATACTTTGCTGTTGGAAGAAGGCAATCTGAGCAACAGGTCAAAAGTAACCTTCCTAACATCAAAATTGGAAGCTAAGATAACACCATCAATAGGTTTTTCCTATAAAGTGCTCGAGTAAAGAAATAGCAACCTGCCTTTTCTGATTTTAATCGCAGAAAATTAAAAGTCTCTCAAGTTTTTATATCTTTAAGACATACTGATCTGATTGCCTGATTGGACTAATCCGGCTTCATAGATAAATCTGAGTATCATCTGCATAACCATAGACCAACACCATGTAAGAATAAATAAAAGAAAATGTGTTCCAAGTACCTAACCCTGTGGAACTCCATTAAATAATAATCCATTAAATAAAATTGACAAAAGAGATGACGTTTTGAGTACCCAAACATAATCAGCTATAAATCTGCTGTTCAGTTATTTGCTTGAGTGACCACCCTTCTTTTGCTTATTTACTGTTTGCACCCACTGGCTGTGACATCCAAATTCCCGTCACGCCCGACGAGTGTGTTTATGCTGCTTCTCTTACAGGCGGAGGCGAGGCTGGCGGCAAAACGAGCTGCTCGGGCGGAGGCCAGAGATATTCGGATGAGGGAACTAGAACGACAACAGAAAGAGGTATTTCATGCAAATCGATGTGCAGAGATGCGCTTGGGGACTGATCCATCTCAGTAAACAATTCTGTTCCTCGGTCCCCCACCAGCGTCCCTAAAGTGCTTTTTGCCTTTTTGGTTCTCGCATCGATGTGTCTAAAAATGAAAGTGCTGCACGTCCACAGATAAAACCAGAAGTTCTATTCCTGACCAGAGTGTCTTTCGGCAGTTTTGACAGAAGCATGATTGTATGTTTTTCCTGGCGTTTCTCCTCCCCGTTCAGCTTTCTTACCACTCATCCAGCAGTAGCAACAGAAAATGGGGTCAGATCCACCAGTGGATGGTAGGCAAGCAAAGGAGTTCTGTTGCTTTCTTTTCCACTAACACAGTGGTGTGGCGCTGAGCCTGTCAGCCTGACCATTTAGCTGCTCACTGGCTAGTTTGTACATCATGGTGAAAATATGCCTCAGTGGTATATTTGCTTTGGAGACACCGTGACTTGTGAGCGTGTGTATTTGGAGAGTTGGTTTTGGCCTTTGGCTTTTCTACAGCGCGGTTCAGTCTGCAAGCTAGTAGCTGGTTTGAACTTATAACTGTAGTCAAACTTTTTCCTGCTTTGAATTAATCTGTGTGTTTTTTAGTGTGTTGATCCATGAAGAAAAGATTTATGGGTGATGCTAAAATGTTCTTTTGTTGTTACTACAGGCCATTAATCGTTCCTCTGTGCTCCGCAAACTTGACTTTTCCTAATTTCTAACATCTGTTGGGTGAAAAATAAGCATGAAGACTGCGTTTGTCAAATCCAAGGGGCTTCACTTTTGTGTTTTACCATCCTTTCTGGCTTTCTTTCCTGATTCCAGGCCGAAACGGAAAAAGCCAGAGCCTCTAGTAGTAGTAGATCCAGCAGCCGTCGTCACCGGGTCTGTATCTCTCTCACACGTTTCCTCTTTGTCTTCATTTTTTTCCTCTTCCTTCCTCTTTCTTTTCACTTATATCTCATCAGCCACATTTGTCTTTGTGTTCTGCTCTGACTTTTTCTTTTCACATAAACAGGGGCTGGATGATGATGTCATGTCAGTCCGCAGCTACAGGGTGTGTACGAAGGGACGCTCTCAAGTGTGAAAGTTGTTTTTAGAAGAGCACTCATGAAATTAATAGTTAAACCTTGTTGTGCCATCTTAATTATTATTTTCTTCTGCCTGAAGTCAACATCATCAGCCGTACGGGACGTCGGGTCCATCAAGGATCGGTCCAGTTCTCGTAAAAAGGACACTTTGGTGCGTTGTGTGAGTGTTCGTGTGGTGGAGCAAAATATGTTTAGGATTTCTGCCTGGTGTCCTAAATCTTCATCAGATTACACGTTCGAAGTCTAAAAGTAGACGAAGAACACTCAAACAAGGCAAAAATAAGCCTTGTTATTTATAAAAGAAAAAGTTCCAGTGACGTTTTGCGTGTCTGAACTGATCAGAGTTTGCGGTGACCAGCTTGGAGTTTTTCTGCTTCCAAAATCTGTGTGAGAATATCGTGATGCTTTATTAATCTGAGGCTGGATTCATTCCAACAAATCAAACATTTGAGAACCACAACCAAAACTAACCCACTCACTGGCCAGTTTATTAGGTACGCCTTACCAGTGCCAGGTTGAACCCTCTTGCCTTCAGAACATCCCTGAGAGGTTCTGGTCCATCGTGACATGACGACATCAGCTCCATCTCTGATGAGAACCTCCGGTTCCACCCCATTACAAAGGTTCTGGACTGTGGATGCTGTTGGAGTCTAGTGAACTCGTAACAGTTGGAGATAATCTGAGCTTTGTGACATGGAGCATGGTCCTGCTGGAAGTAGGTCATCAGAAGATTGGTCCATGTTGCCGTAAAGCAGGGGTGTCAAACTCAAACTCACACGGGGCCCAAATGAAACTCTGGGACGGAGTCGAGGGCCAAACTTCATATTTTCTGAAAAAGTGACGGCAAATTTGCCCATTTTCTTTATCAACATGTATGCAATTTTGAACCTTTAAATTTGGAAACAAACTTATTTCTGCATTAACACTGAATGTGGAATAACCTAATGACACACGAGCAAGTCCGTTTTAAATAAAACACATCAGTGGTATTCATTACTTGTGGTATAATCAGCATTTTTAAAATCTATTCAGGATTTATGTTTTCTTGTTTATTCATTTTTCTTATTTTTATTCTCCTTTTTTTCTCCTGTAATACGTGTCATCGCTGCTGTGACGTCTAGCTTTCCCCACTGAGGAACAATATAGGGATTTTCTATTCCATTCATCTATCTGCAGCCTTTCCACTTCCTGTTTACTGTAGGTTAAATCTTTTCTCACGGGCCAACAACAAAATAAAATATAATTTTATCTTAAATGAAAATGCAACATCTCACCTGTTAACTTTCATGTTTTGGAGCAGAAAAAGAGTAGCCTAGTGAACTAGACCAAATCCTTGCTTTGCAAAGTTTGGTCTAGGCACGCTCCATTGAAAACCCCGCAGCTCCTACCAGGACTCTGGCTAGCCAATCACAGCTCTCTAGAGGGGTTTCAAACACATAAAGAGCTGTGATTGATCCATAATGGTGGGTCAATCATAGTGCTCTGTCTGCTTAGTGAACAAATCACAGAGCTTTATCTGCTTTGTGGGCCAATCAGGGCACTCTATATGCCTGGTGGGTGGGATGATGCAACAGAGTGAAACAAGAGTATGTCACATTCATTGTCCAGTGGAATGCGGAGATCATTTGAAAGACAACGGTAGAACCCGCCCCACAACCGAGAGCCGTCAATGGAGCGTGGCCAGACTAAATAATACATTTATTTAGTCTGGCTTGCCAGGCTAGAAAAAGAGCATAAAACCAACATATTTAAAGCTCAGTTTGCTCCACTGGTTTACTGTGATGCTCACCTGTTCCAGCCAGATACCTGCATCATGGGGTTGATCTGAGCTGAGGAGGAGACTCCTGTTGTTTTGTTCATCTTCATCATAATAATGAAAACATTAGATGACAACAGGTGCTCACATAGGTTTGTGCTGATGAACATGTCTGAGCAGCTTGACCACGTTGTTGTGTGTCGGGGAGGAAAAATAACAACTACAGCAGCCACAGAGCTGTGCTGGTTTGAGCGTGTCGCTGCTCGCTGGAGTTACATCAGCTCTGTCTGGACGTTAGTTGGAAAACTTTCTCTTTCAGTCGTGAACACGTTACTGAGCGGCTAGAATCTCCGTTTCTGGGCTTCAACGTCAGAAAACAGCTGAGTGAACTCGGCGCTGAGTGAGAGGAGTGTAGTTTGTCCGAGACAGCGGAGCTGCAGACACCGGCAGCAGACGCTGGAAAAAACACAAAGGAGGGGGCGCGTCGGCTCCGCACTAACGCCGCAAAGCATCATGGGAGTTGAAATCTTTGCGGTAAAATCGGCCAGCGGGCCAGTTTTAATATATTTTTGATATTTATCTCGCGGGCCACGGCCCGCGGGCCTTGTGTCTGACACACGTGCCGTAAAGGGATGGACATGGTCAGCAACAAGACTCGGGTAGGCTGTGGTGTTTTAAACCAGGCTCAGGTTGAGCTGAGGGGTCCAAAGTGGCAAAACATCTTCACCACCACTATTACACCAGCAGCCTGAAGGGTGGATCCAGATGGTTGTGGGTGAAATTCCCAGCAGATTATGAACTACTTAGATCAACAATCATGCCACAGTCAAAGGCTCTTTATTCTGATGCCCAGGTTGAACTTCGCCTCATCTAGACGTCTAAATGCTGCCATGTAACTGGATAATTAGCTGTTTGTGCTGAAGGTGTACCTAATGGGGTGGCCATTTAAATGCCAGAGTTCAGCCGATGACGGCGTGTTAAACGGAACTAATTCTGCTCTCCTCCTGGTTTGAGATTTCCTCCTTCAGGTCATCATATCTGCTTATTTAGTTGAGCAGCTTTTTGCTCCCAGAACATGAGAACTGACCTCCTTCGTGTTGTTTCATCTGACGCATGGAGCACTACCACTAGCCTGTAATTGTGTGGTGTTTAAGGATTGGGTGTGTGCTAATGTCAAGGTGCATGTATGTTTATCGGAGTTAACAGTTCACATCTTTACTGGTCTTCTGATTGGTTCTCCTGGTCTCTCCTCAGTCCGATGGCCTCTCTAGCTCCATCCTCAAGAGCGCCCGCTCTACTGTATGTAGTTCTATGCTGACCTTTCATTTTCTACTCATCTATTTCCCTTTCTGCATATCACCCTGTTCTCTTTCTTTTTCTTACATTTTGTGGGTCTGAACAGAGTTCTGTGTACAGCGACCTGCAAAGCCATAGAAAGACGTCATCAAAGAAGGGCCTCCTGGTCAGTCGACTCTAAATATTCACGTCTCAGCGTTGGTTTGAAGCATGGCAGCGGTGCAGACTCGTAGAGTTTTCTGTTGATGACCTTTAGCCTTGATAAGCCTGAGCGATCATTGCTTTATGGCGCATTGATCAAGCAATGTTGCAGTAATTCAGCGCTTCAAGATAAAGACTGACATGCTGCTTGAGGTCGTGTTATGTCCCTCTTCTAGACTGGACTGTACCATGATCAGAGGAACTACAGCAGCCTAATGAAGACCACCAAACCATCTCCCCTGCCTTCCACCTCCACCTCCATCTATCAGCCACGGGTTGGTCCTCTTGTCAGGGTCTGAAGTGGTGAAACTGGGTCAATTCTCTAGATTCACAACTATCATGAATATTTATGAGCCGGGCATAGTTTCTACTTAATTGTAAAAAGGGACAAACAACAGCGTGTTAGGGTTTTTGTGGATTTAAAGATAAACGGGGTGGGGGAGGGGTTAAAAGCTGGGAAATATTAAGAGATTAAATTCATGTATTTATGTGGAAAAGAACTCCGATGTGGAGATCAACCGATATGGTTTTTCCATATCCGATATGTAGAGGTCACGGCCAGCTGATGGCCAACGTGTGCAGCTGATTTTCACAGCTGAAATCTGGACGTTTTCTTTGTTATTTAAATGCTAAGCAGCAGCTGATGTGCAACATTTCTGAAACTGAATCTGTTTTTGAACACCGAATTCAACCAAAACAGGTGAATATATAAAAAACAATGAAGTTTGGCCTGATGCATTGGCTGACCGACGTCTCGTCTAGCCGTACTCTGATGTAGGAAAGGTCCAAAATATCCGAGGAAAAATGTTGACAAAATGCAAAAATGCATAAAGCTACATTTTGAACATTTATATTTTCAAGAACAAAGTAAAAGTTGAAAACTCCCACATTTAGCAGAAATGACCACTTTTGTTAAATTATACATTTGCAACATAAATAGTCTCAATTTTCTCAGATTTACCAGAAACAATCCTATGATTTTTGTAAAGTCACACATTTTTGTTTAAAACAAAAGGAAATTTACTGAGATTAAAGTTTTGATTTTCAGGAGATAAATTTGTATATTCTCTAAAGTGTAGACTGGAAATTTGTGATTAGAAGACGAAAAAAGTTTCCAAAAAAAGGGTTTCCAATTTTTAACCCAGATGTTTGTTGGTTTTCAAAAACTCCTTTTGTTTTTTGTTTTTTTTCTGGTAAATTTAAACTTGTGGTTCACTGAAAAACGTATAATCCATGTTTTTTTTAATCGTTCACTCTGAGTTTCACATGCAGGCTGAACGTGAAAATAGTGTTCTACCCCTATTTTCTGCATTAGCCACCAATAGAAAATAGGCGAGGAAAAAGCCTCTTAGATCCATGTTCAGCATTCATGAACTCACCCATCTTAGCTCGCAACAGGGAAGGCTGTTGTTTAGCTTCTAAGAGAGACCAGAGCTCGTCGCTTCTAGTAGAAGCTAACCGTTAGCATTAACACCTTCAGAGGATGGTAGAACGTGTTTGTGCTTGTGTTAGTTGCAGTGGCAGTTTTACCATTAGGCATAGGTCAGCGGCCGCCTGGTGCCCCCTTGTGTTGGGGGGCCCCCTAGCCCTGACCGCTGGCACCCCTCTGTTAATGCCACCACAATAATCTTATTACCAACCTGTGGCCGCAAACGGGATTGGACATGCGCACTTCTCATTGCCACAATTCCTGAGCCGTTCAAGATATCATTAAAATTCCAAAAGTGCTGAAAAGATTAAAAATGGGGCTTTTCGTGCATATACAAGACATTACGGTAGCCACCGGGATTCCCTGTCTTGAGCGCAACGAATCACAACACAGATTCAGAGACGTGCTGAGTTTGTCATCCAAAATGCTCCGTTTTATAACTTTTGAATGGCTGGTCAGATCCAGGAAATTCCAACGGTTCCTAGAAGTACATAAAAGCAGCTTTCCAATGATCTTGAGCACGAATCAATCAGAGTTATGGAAAATATCGCTACGAGGGGAAATCCTGCTGTACAGCTTGATTGAAACGGAGCGCAGCGCCGCGGTGAAAGCGGATAACGGAACGGGGAAGCTAAAAACCAGCATGAAATTATGGAAATGCCTCAAAGAAAATCAACACGATCTATTAGGTGTCCCAGAAGGCTTATATCTGAAGACCGTGACCACGAAGAAGGACAGATCTCCAGTGAACCAGGGTATGAACGTTTGTTCAGTCTTTATATTTTATTTTTTTTATTTGAACAACCCTCAACTATTTGCTAATTGTAAGATTCAGCTTCATTCCAGCATTATTTATCTTTTTACAATAAATAATTATACTTGCTAAAACAAATGTTTTTGGTATAGCAGCACGGTGTGCAAGAGAAGCACCCATGGCAGTGTGAGGTGTGCAAGACTCTGCCTGCAGCTGGAGAGAAACTGCTTCAAGGTCTACCACATCAAATAAAAACGTCTGAAAGTTTACAAAAATAAATGGTCTTAAAAACTGCTAAAAATGATACAAAGGTTCACACTTTTTTAGGAATAGATGCATTTCAGTTCAAAGTTTAAACTGTTTGCCCAGTAATTTTGAAGTTCCTGTTCAGTAATAAATGTAAAAAATTCAAATCCGTTTTTTGCTTTTTTTACTTTTAAGCTGATTTTTTAAAGGCTTTAATAGCAATAACTTCTAAATACAAACCATACACTGAAAGCTGAGGTTGTTCTGAAAAAAGGAGAAGAGTTACACACACTTTGTACTTTTATTACAATTTTAAAGCCATAAGAAAAAATACCAGGCGGCCCTGTTATAATTATGGTCATAAGAGGGTTATTAAGACGGCGATGCACAAACAGGAAGTGATTGGTAGTCATTCCACTCCAATCCAGTTGGTGGCAGTAATGCACCAAATTGTTGTTTGCCAAGTGCCATAAGACCACAAATAATAATAAGAAGAGAGGCGGGAGCGTTCGTAAAAACTCAAAGCGATAGTCAAAACATGAAGCATGAAACGGAGTTATCCTAGTGGCTCCAATAAGAAAGAAGCAGCTTGCTTCATAAAAGCTTTTATTTTCACTTCTGAAAGTGACGTCGTTTTTCGCTTTAAACATCAAAAGGAAGCAGAAAGGAAAGACAATGGAAAATATTTCAAGGGAGGAAAACACGGACCAAAATGGAAAATAGAAGAAAAATAACTAAGGCTAAAGCACAGGAGCACTGACAGGAAAAAGAAAGCAGAGCAAATACTGAAAGCGCTCAAAAGGAGGGAAATACAGGAAAAAAGAGGAGGACTAATAAAAAGGGAAAATAATTTGTGTCAGAAGAGGGGAGAGTTTCGCAAATCCAGTTAAAGATAAGATTGTCGACAATTTAGTGTAAGGGGCTCCATGTCTGTGTTCGCCTCGGGCCCCCAAATTGCTAAATCCGCCCCTGGTCATTTGTGGAGATAAAGCATTGTTGCCTTTTTGTTTTGCCCACGAATAAAGAGTGAAAGAAGGCAGTGGAGGAGTCACATTAATATTAGCCAATCAGAGGAGAGATGTTTGCATATCATGAATTTTAACGAGTAAAACTCCAACTTTTCTCAATGTAACACTTTGTCCAACATCATAAAGAATCTGTGTGTTTTCACATGAATATATGATAATCTCAGGATTTACTTTTCCTCTTTCCCCTCCCTTTGGCTCCATCTCTTTATTTTTACTCTATAATAATGCCGTACGTGTCGTAAAATCATTTGTGTTTGATGTTTCGTCTCCTGCAGGAACCGCTGATGTTAGCCGGGCCCTCGCAGTTTTTAAACAGCCACGTTTTCTTCTGACACTTGACATTAAATTCTGTAAACGCTACCAGATCAGCAGAACACTAGTCCTGTTTTCACTTTACCTCTTAAATTCCTCAACACTGTGACTCTGGCTAAAACATCCCACTGTTCAGTAACGTGACCCTCCTCCTGCTCCTTTCCTGTCCCGCAGGCCACCACCTCCCCCTCTCCCTCCTCCACCTCCACTGGCATGGGGCTGCCTCGCAGCTACAGCATGGTCAGTTTCAGTAGCTGGCGTTGGTCTGCCTGTTTCTGGTCACCTTCAAACCATCTCCTTCTCTCTGTTATTCAGCCACTCAGAGACTTCTGTCCTGTTTTATTTTTCGTCTGTGTGTTTGTGAATCATCTCTCACGTCACAGGCCTCTATTTATGATAACGCCGGTCTTTATGGCTCAAGCTACAATTCCAAAGCTGTAAGTCCTCTGAATGTTTGTGAAAGCAGTATTTTGGGGGGGAATATTGATCCAACAACAGTTTAGCCTTGTGGCCTGACATATGTCCTCCTCCTTCCCTCGTCTTTAGCCCTCTGAATACAGCTGGTACTCCTCTGGAGCCAGCTCCACTCAGAGCAGCCCTGCGGTGAGCACCTTTAAACACTCACAGCACCGACATTCACTCCTAACGAGCACTTTCCTGCTCCCATCCCGCTAGGACAGATGTTAGCGATAGCTCGTAGCGGGAAGCCGTGTTGCTGATGGAGTTGGTCTTGCTTTATTTATGTTGCTTTGTTTGTATGAAAAGGCTTTGCTCACAGGTAAATAATAATCTATTCCAATAATCTGTTCAATACAAACAGTTGGATGTGTGCTGATGTTGGTTGTAACAAAGCGACTCGAGCCTGCAGCCGTCTAACGCTACGTTGGGTTTTTATCTGTGTGGATATTTCCAGCACTCGTCCTCAGACGACGACACTGTGAGCAGTGTGTCCCAGGAACACTACGGCAGAGGCCGGAGGGACAGTGTGGTGAGCTGTAGCTACTGGGCTTCCCCAAACCTCAACGGATGTGATTCTGTCGCGATATTTATACTTTTATCATCTTTTCTGTGTGAAGTTGACTCTTCATTCCTGTTTGATTCCACTCTCCCCTTCATCCTTTGTGTTGTAAGTAGCTGTCGGACTTTTCGGACATTAGTGAGTCTGCGGCTGATTATTTCAGCCGCTCCAACCGAAGGGGCAGTATTGTGTCAGACCTCGATGACTTAAGCAATCCTGATCTGGACGCCGTAAGTGCCCGATCTGAGCTCACGTCTGCGTGCTGTGGGAATGTCGAAATCCAGTGCATGGCCAAAGAAAACACAAATGGATGACGCCTGTAATAACAACGAATGCTTCAGACTCATGCCACATTATGTGCATTCTACTGAAAACTTTACTACCTATAATAGAAAATCAACAACAAAGTGGACGTGTGTGCAGCAGCATGCGTTAAAAAAGGTTTTCTTCTTTGAGTGTTTTTTTTTTGTGGACGTGTTTGATTTTGGTTGACGGTTCTGCTGAGGTTGTGGACATGCAGCACTCATCCGAGACTCACGAACTAACTTTCTGGTTTAAAGGCTCTGAAAAGGCATGCAGGCAAGAACAAGTTCTCTCGAACAGCCGACAACTTTCTCTTACAAAATGATTTTCTCTTTTCTACAGCTGGATGAGAAATGTGACAAGCAGTATCCAGATTATACTCGGGTAAGTCAACGACACATCTGCTCATACGTGAACTCGGTTCGATGCCGTGGTCATTTAGCAAAGTTTTTCATCTGCATGAGTAAGACGGGTTGTTCACTGATATGTCCCAAGTAGCACTGGAAGGTGTGTTCAAATTCTCCGACTAGTAAAAATACAAATCTGGGAATGGTGAAATGAAACACAGTAGAGACCAACATGGTGCAGAAGTTCACTAATGTCCAGCTCGGACTGCGAAACCATCTAAAGGCTCGGGAAACCTGTGCAGGTGTTCTCGATTCATTAGCTGATAAAATTGTGACACTTTAAATCTAGAATATTGAACCTTTTCACAATATTCTGATGACTGAGATTTAGAATTTTGTGTTCTCGTCAGCTGTGAGCCATCATCAACACAACTATAACAAATAAAGGCTGAAACTGCATGGAATGAGTCTGTCTCATATCTTAGTTTACAGATTTAGTGAGATAAATTAACTTGTGCGACAGTTTCTAATTTGCCAGTTCCACCTGTAGCTAAACAGGTACCTGTAGCTGTACCTGTAACCTGTAGCTAACAGGCTAAACAGCTAAACGGGTACCTGTAGCTGTACCTGTAACCTGTAGCTAACAGGCTAAACAGCTAAACGGGTACCTGTAGCTGTACCTGTAACCTGTAGCTAACAGGCTAAACAGCTAAACGGGTACCTGTAGCTGTACCTGTAACCTGTAGCTAACAGGCTAAACAGCTAAACAGGTACCTGTAGCTGTACTTGTAACCTGTAGCTAAACGGGTACCTGTAGCTGTACCTGTAACCTGTAGCTAACAGGCTAAACAGCTAAACGGGTACCTGTAGCTGTACTTGTAACCTGTAGCTAAACAGGTACCTGTAGCTGTACCTGTAACCTGTAGCTAACAGGCTAAACAGCTAAACGGGTACCTGTAGCTGTACCTGTAACCTGTAGCTAACAGGCTAAACAGCTAAACGGGTACCTGTAGCTGTACCTGTAACCTGTAGCTAACAGGCTAAACAGCTAAACGGGTACCTGTAGCTGTACTTGTAACCTGTAGCTAAACAGGTACCTGTAGCTGTACTTGTAACCTGTAGCTAAACAGGTACCTGTAGCTGTACTTGTAACCTGTAGCTAAACAGGTACCTGTAGCTGTACCTGTAACCTGTAGCTAACAGGCTAAACAGCTAAACGGGTACCTGTAGCTGAACCTGTAGCTAACAGGCTAAACAGCTAAACGGGTACCTGTAGCTGTAGCTGTAACCTGTAGCTAACAGGCTAAACAGCTAAACAGGTACCTGTAGCTGTACCTGTAACCTGTAGCTAACAGGCTAAACAGCTAAACGGGTACCTGTAGCTGTACTTGTAACCTGTAGCTAAACAGGTACCTGTAGCTGTACCTGTAACCTGCAGCTAACAGGCTAAACAGCTAAATGGGTACCTGTAGCTGTACCTGTAACCTGTAGCTAACAGGCTAAACAGCTAAACGGGTACCTGTAGCTGTACCTGTAACCTGTAGCTAACAGGCTAAACAGCTAAACGGGTACCTGTAGCTCTACTTGTAACCTGTAGCTAAACAGGTACCTGTAGCTGTACTTGTAACCTGTAGCTAACAGGCTAAACAGCTAAATTAAATTCTGGCTGATCTACACTGGATTCCTGTGCACTTTCAAATACAATACAAAGTTCTAACATTTGCCTACAAAGCCCTGAATGGTCTAGCCCCTTTATACTTGTCAGAGCTGCCCCCCCCCCCCCCCCCCCCCCCCCCCAGTCACTAAGGTCTGCTGACCTTCCATCTACTGCTCAAAGTCCCTAAAATGAAATCTAAAGCTCGTGGGGAGCGTGCGTGCACCTTTGCTGCTCCCAGCCTCTGGAAGGCACTCCCTCTGGTGGTACGCCGGGCTTCCTCACTGGCACAGTTTAAATCCAGCCTAAAGACACATTTCTTTAATTCAGCTTTTGGCCAATGATCATTCTTTTATGCTGTGACTCTCTTCTGTTTTTACTGACTTCTGTTTTCATCGGCTGTTTTAACTTTTGTTTCGATTTTAGGTGTTTCTATTTTGACAGTTTTTAATCTGTTTAATGTGTATGTATGTGAATGTGAATGCTTTTTAGGTTTAACTGTGCGGTGCTTTGGTCAGCTGACTTGCTGTTTTTAAATGCGCTATGTAAATAAAATTGGATTGGATAATGCCGCCATCCTGAAACGGCTCCACTCTTTTAAATTTCTACTGCAGTGGATGCAACAGAGTTTTTTCTACATATTTTCACAGCAGCCAGTTTTACATTTCATGTAACTTTGTAGTTTTTCAGCTAAAATAAAAGCTGTAGTAAAATGTGGCTGAAAGCATTTTATGTTGGAGACTAGAGCTGTTTTAAAACAGACTAGCCGTTAGCTCATCAGTCCGATCTTATGTATATTAATTTCACAAAAATGGTAACGGTTCGAATAAGAATGATTATTCTAACCTTTACACAGAAACATGCTTCTAAACGTTCCTTCGAGACCAGTTATGGATCCGATGCTGAAGAGGTGAATGTTTGTTTTTGTTTTGTTTCCTCAGCCGTCCTCCCGCTGCACCACCCCAGGTCTCTCAGCGGCCACCCTGGCTTCCCTGGGCGGCTCTTCATCGCGGCGGGGGAGCACAGACACCGGCAGCATCTATGACGCCGACGCCAGTCTGAGTGAACTTAAGGTACGACGTTCAAACACGTCCGGTCTTTATTAAAACCTAACAAAAGTCACGTCGCAGGTCTGACGTGTTCCTCCTGAGTCTGAAACTCTCGCGGCGTCCCCTCTGCCGTGTCCTTCCTGCTGTCCTCGGTCTTTGCTTTAACCGTTTTTCTTTTAGTGTGCATGGGAGGTCTGGATGGACGGGTCCCACAACCCTGTCCCTAATGTCTGGGTCATGATGCGTGTGTCTGCTGAACTCTCTCTGAGACGACTGCACGGGTGCTTTATTTTACCTTTACCGTCCTCCACCCTCCGGTTCATCCAAAACCCATTCCCTCCATCTGCTCTACAGGATATCTATGAACTAAAGGACCAGATTCAGGATGTAGAGGGGCGGTACATGCAAGGGCTTAAAGAGCTGAAGGTAGAGGGGCTTGAGCTCTACGCATGCTTCTTTTATCCTTTGGGAACAGTATGGCATCACTAACTTCCCTCCCTCCCCCTGCTTCCCACTCACCCCTCTCCAGCACTCACCCCCACCCTCCTGTTGCTCCAGCCACATCTTTGGGTGATTCCTGTTTAACTGTGTCATCCTGTTTCCACCGCATGCTCTCTCATCACCCCTCGGTCAGTCTAACGAAATCACGTTCCTGCTGAGCTGTGTGAAGAGCTCCACCTGCAGTCACACCAGAGTCTTGACCTGTTTGACCTCTTCCACCCGGGCTTTTATTGGCCCAGTCACCTTCACCTCCCTGCTCACTTGGATTCCTGTTCATGAGTAGGTCACTAACTGGAGATGCACCAAAAATCTGCCAATACAACGGTTGGCTTCGTGGTTTTGCCTCTCAGATGTTAAGTTTATTATTATTATAACGTTTAGAAGAACTAAATGCTGCACCAATAAAAACTATAGAATATAAGATAAATAAAATAAAATGCACAACGTTAAAATATTTACTCCAGGGTATCTGCGGGTCCTTAAGAAGTCTTAAATTAGCTTTTCCAAATTTAAGGCCCTAAAAATCCTTAAAAATGACAAATAATCCTTAAATACAGTTTCCAGAGGTCTTAAATTACCAAAGAACCAACAAACAAGATTCTTTTATTTCTATAACATTTTTGTGAATTTCTAGTTGGTGTTCAGCATTTTTTGTGTACGATGTTGGCGTAAGCGGAACCGTACGCATTCAGTTGGTTGTGAAAGGGGGCTTTTTTAGATGAGCACGTTAGCTGGTTAAGCTAGTGGGAGCAGTGTTGCCAGATGTACGATAATTATCGTATTTGTACCATAATTTTGGGCTCTGTACGATGTACGATCAATAGTTTCAAAAATCCTCAAATGTACGATAATTTCACATTGCATCTAGTAACACCATCTTTTGCTGTGGCTTTCCCAAGTCAATTACATAATTTTAAACTGTTCTGAAGTCAGATTTCACCTCAGTGCTTACAGGTTTATAAATGTCTCCTACAAACTAATGAAAAAGAGAAGTTTGAAAATGATGTGAAAAACGCTGAAATCAAGCCATGTGGCTTTTTAGCCCAGCACAACATTGCAATGAGAAGCACAGACCACTTAGTACAGGTGATTAAAGGCATTCTGCTGCGACAGACAGTGAATCAGATGAGGAGATTGAGATCAGCAACTAGGTGAGTAGGCTGCTGTGTCGTTTATTGGGTCAGTTTTTCCACTGCTGTGATGTTTTGTCGCGTGCTTTTAACCTATGTAGAAATGAAATAAATAGGACTGCTCAAATGTGCATATTGTGTCAATGCGTGGAGGTCGGAGTGGTGCCGACACACTCTGCACGTTTATAAGCATTATATTACTGGTTTTAAAGATGTTTATTTAAACAGGGCAATATAAAACACATTCTTTGTTATATTATATTGGGATGAGAAGTCTTTTATAGAACGTTATTATCAAATTTATAATGTACGATAATTTGTACTGAAAAACGAAAATTTAAGCCTCTCTGTACGATATTGTGGGATTTTGGATCTGGCAACACTGAGTGGGAGCATGCGCTATGGGGAAGTGCAAGCTTAATGGTAACTGGATGGCTAATCCTACGTTTGCGACGTGGTTAGCACCGGTTCCAGGCAATAGGTGGAAATTATAGCTTAGATTTAATTTTTAAAATAGCTTAAATTTGGTCAAAGTGGCCTTAAAAAAGGTCTTAAAAAGTCTTAAATTTGGCTCCCTTAAACCTGCAGATACCCTGTACTCTAGAGTCTAGAGCTGTGGTTCTTAACCCTGGTCCTGGAGGTCCAGTATCCAGCATGTTCTAGTTTTAACCCTGCTTCAACACCCTGATTAACAGCCTTCTGCAGAGCTTTGAGCTTCCAAACAGGTGAGTCAACCAACGGATCAGGTATGCTGGAGCAGGAAAACAACTAAAACATGCTGCATACTGGCCCTCCAGAACCGGCGTACTAGAGCAAAGATTGTTATGAACTCACTGCAGCCAAGCTCTAGCCCCGGGTTTCCACCAGATGCACAAGTGTTGCGTAACGTCTGCTAAACGTAAAACGTAGGTGTTCCGCCGGGGGTGCGTCCAGTAGCGTCGTGTCGCTCTGCTAAATGTACGCTTCAGGTCTATTTTTTACGTGCTGCGCTTCCAGAACTCGTCAAGCTCAGCAGTTCAGATCGGGCCGGACAGGAAGTCAAACACAGGAGCAGTGTAAAGCATTCAACGGATTTCAAAATAAAAGACACTTGCAGATTTTCTGTTGTTTGACTATGAAAAATATTCATATATCAATAGCTGCAAAACCTCTGTGACTGACGTAAAAGAATAGAAAAATATACTGTCGACCGTTTGGACACATGCTGCAGTCTTCCTCCTTGCTTTTTATTGAGTGAACTGGTGAAATCATGAGTGATGATGCAGTTACCCGGTAAGTTGGTGATCTCCCACGGCGGCGGCGAGGTCACAGGAAAAGGCGTTTCTTACATTTCGCCCCGCTTACGTTAATCGTGAATTTAAAGGTTCATATTGGCCTTCCACACCAGAATCGGTGCATCTCTATAACTAACATCCCGACTCCCGGCTGGTAGAGTTTGACACAACTCTTCTGGAGTTTTCTCCTCAGACCCCATTTGCACTTTGTTTTGCTTCTGAAAGTCTTTATTATCATCAGAGACCCTGCTCTCTTTTACCTGGCATATTGGTCCCAAATGACTTGTTTAAAATAGAAGACTGACCAGTTACACTGGATAAGATGTTGGTCTTTAAGCCCCGTGTAGCAGGCCACCTGTTGCATGGAGGTGAGCTGTTTTCACACAGCTCACGTTGTTCTCACGAACACGTTCACACCTCTAACAGGAGTCGCTCGCCGAGGTTGAGGAGAAGTATAAGAAAGCCATGGTATCGAACGCACAGCTGGACAACGACAAAGCCAACCTCATTTATCAGGTGGACACTCTGAAGGACGTCATCGAGGAGATGGAGGAGCAAACGGCAGAGATGAGGAGGGAGCTGGAAGAAAAGTCAAAGGTAGCTCACTCTGAAGTATCAAAATATTGATTTGGAAGAGGTGTGAGACTAAAATGTTCTGTTTTTGTCCTTTTCAGGAACTAGAAAGACAAAAACACACGTGCTCAGTGCTGCAGCATAAACAAGAAGAACTTAAAGAGGGACTCCGACAGAGAGATGAGCTTATAGAGGTACGGCTGCGAGTGTGACCTCATCCGGGCGCTGTACTCTCAACACTTTTAAAGAGCAAGTCACCCCCAAATCAACTTTTTTTTTGCTGATAAACTAAGGCCTAGTCCACACGTAGCCGGGGTTTTTAAAAACGAATATCCGCCCCTCCAAAAACGTGCATCCACACCACCGCGTTTTAAAAAACAAACTGTCCACGCGTACCCGGATAAATACGTTGTTAAGGACATGCCAGACCTGTAGGCGGCAGTACTTCCCCCGTGCTTAACCTCGTCCTTCGTCTGTGGTCTTCCGCAAGGAGCAGTAATTCCGCTTGCAAAAACAAACAAGCAGAAAGCGCTTGGACAGTTGATAAAGCGAGCGCAGCTCTGAGGGCATCCATGCTGTCGGCTAGTGCAAACACAGGTCGCACACGTGATGTCAGCATTTTTAGTCGCGGAAAGTGACGTTGCGGACCTTAAAACTCCGGTTTTGTCCGTCCACACGCAGACACCCAAAACGGAGAAAACGCAGATCTTCACTTTGGCCGGAGTTTTTAAAAAGATCCGTTTTCGTGTGAAAAAACTCCGTTTTCGTGTGGATGACAGGCCGAAACGTAGAAAAATATCTACGTTTTGGCAGATCCCCGGCTACGTGTGGACAGGGCCTAAATAAACGAGTGTCTAATCGTGCTGCAGACACGTGTCGTCAATAATTTGGCGCTTCAGTGCATCTTAGTTAAAATTTAAATATTCTGCCTAAAACTGTCAGTGTTGTGCCGTTGTCAGGTAAAAACTCTGCACTGTATTTTCATTTAAATCTGCCACCGCCATTGGCTAAGAGGTATGCTATGATGTAAACTGGTACATTATGATGTCACAATGCTGTCGTGAGCCCGTGTGTGTGTGTATTTGTTAGCACTTCCGCCCTCTCGGTCTGCCAGGCAACAGCATTTGTTGCATTTTTCAAACATGAAGTGAGAGTGGAGTTAGACTCTGGTAGGGGGTGACTTGCTCTTTAAAAGTGTCGGTGCCGCTGTTCTGCAGGAATTTGATAAGGATTTGCTGTCCTTCCTCTGCGTTCTCCCACATTTTTACTTCACTGACAAAATAATTTAGGCATCCTGAAGGATTGACGTGGATGTGATGTGGTTCACATGCAGAACAGTGACGGGTGCATAAATAGCATGGAGCTGGCATGTTCAGAACGGGCACTGGTGGGGGGGGGTGACGGTGTTATCAGGCAGTCAGCACGCTGTCCAACAGTGAGTGAAGGTCAGCAGACACACAGGATGTCTCATAAACACGTTAGAGGACACTATCCTGCAACCGTCTGTCACGGATGTTGCAGTGGCTCGATAATTAAAGGTCTTGTTACCATGGAAACCGTGTATACTTTTTTAATACGATCAGTCACTCTGAGCTCCATATAATGCTGAACATGAACATTTTCTCCAACCCCCGTCGCCGACATTAGCTGCAGAAAGGAAATGGACGGGAAAAGCACTGAGTCAGGAAAAAGTCGGTCTATTCTTTGACACGGGAAAATTGGTGTTCATGGCCCCGCCCACCTTGATTCGGGACCGCCTACAGGAAGGGCAGAACGTGTCTCAGCTAGTAAAGGTAGCATTAGCTATCCCACAACATGGCGGAACAAGTTCAGGCACGTGTTATTTGTGGAGATAAAACGTCAGCGTTGCATTTTTTTTTCCCAAGAAAGGAGAGCAAACAAAGGCAACAGAAAAGTCGCCAATCAGAGGCGAGATGTTTGCAGATCACGAGTATTGATGAGCAAGACTCCTAATCCTGTCGCTTTCTACTAAATTCTACCCCCTGAAGCAGGAGCGCCAGGGTTTTTTTTCCCACTGAAAATGACTCGCGATGTAATTGTTCATACTAGAGACCACGGCAGATGTAATTAAATAAAAAATGACTCCCTTAAGGCAGCGGGTGCTTGCACCAGTCAGCGTGAGTTCACCATTAGCACCAGAGCAGGAACAGCTGGGTTTAGCGAAGGGATGAATCAGATTAATATAGTTTCTGAATCATCACTGTTCCTGAAGACGGAGAAGAAAAATTAGGATTGAGAAGATCAGTCCTTCCATTGTAGTTGAGGTGAGGATCTTTCTGTGAAAAGGATGAGAACTTCAGTGTCGTCCCTGTGTCTCTTAGCTCACTTATCTGATAGACCTTCAGCGTCAGCATGCCAGGTATCCTGAGGTTTCCACGCACTACTGGTACTGGTTCTGTCGTCGTTGAAGGACAGTTCATTGTTCCTGATCCATCTGGGTGCCTAACTTTTTATGTCGGTGTGTTTTTGTTTCTCTGTATGATCATTTGTTCCTCTCTCTGCTCTTTCAGTCTCTTCTCACCTGGTTCACCTGCTCGTGCACATGCATTTACTGGCATTTTTCACTTCTGTTCTCAGCTCCATTCAATTGTTCCCTTTTGTGTTCTTGTCCTTTGCTGTCCTCTCGCTCCATGCCGCCCCAGGAGAGCCAGCAAACGCAGGCTAAATTAGATGCTCTCACCAGAGAGGTGTTTGATCTCCAGGAAACGATAAACTGGAAGGACAAAAAGATTGGGGTAGGAGGCCCCAGTGCCAGTGCTCCGACAGAATCCGAGAGGTTGAGCTGAGCCGGTTGAGGCTCCTTGCCTCTCGTGCTGTCTGTGCATGATGCAGACCCTTTAGGTCTTGGTACATGATCTGACCCGGTCACATGCACAGTTTGGCGCTTTTGCATGTCACAATAAGATTTTGGACCCAGAAACAACGGCTAACTGAGGAAAAAAAATCACTTTTTCATTTATACACTCTAGCATGGCATGCATGTTCCACCTGTGTGTGTTTGAACCTGTGTCGTCTAGAGGTTATCTCCCATAGATGCGTGTTATGAAATGTGTTTGTGTAAAAGATGTAAACATTTACCACATCTGCCATCGTAGATGGCTTCCTAAATGGCCTCTGTGTAAAGAGTTTACATCCTACTGGACTGATAGGCTAACGGCCAGCCTGACTAAAACGGATTGATGCATATTTGAGACCTGATTTATCTGATGGGTATTTTTATTTCACCCTTGGATTTGAGGATAAATATAAATTTATAAACACTGCATTGTTATTCTGGCAGAATTATTAAAATAATCCCCCCACGCTCGACTGTCTGATCCATCAGAACTGCCACATTTGGCTTCGTTTCTGTGACCTTTCTGTTGATTCTTCCTCACTAACTTCTCTTCTTGCTGCTCTTTACACCAATTCTGTTTTTGTCAGTAGTGATTACCTTCTTCTTTTATTAATCTAAAATTCTCATTTTTATCCAAATTTTTATTATATGTTTGTAAATTTAATCGAATGTTTTTAGTAATATTCTGATTTTAAAAATCCCAACCTATCTGTGAAGCCCCACCCATGAGGTTGGCTTAAAAACCAGGTTCACTGAGAAACTTATTATTTATTATTACTTATTATTTTTGAAAATAGATCAATCATTCTGGGTTTTACATGCAGGCTGAACATGAAAATGGTCTCCTACACCTATCTCCTGCATTAGCTTCTGATAGAAAACAGACGGTGAAACTCTAGGATTAGAAAATCCTGACAGATCTACGTCACACTGTCACTAACATTCATGGACTCGCCCATGTTGGCTCACGACGGGGAAGGCTGTTGTTGGTTCAGCGTCCAGGAAACCATAGAGAATGTCTCTGCTAGTAGAAGCTAACTGTTAGCATAGCAACTCCACCACATAGCAGAACTCCTCCAGGCTTGTGTTATTTATGGAGATAAAACTTCAACGTTGCAGAGCAAACGGAGTCAGCGGTAGAGTCGCGTTGCTGTTAGCCAATCAGAGGAGAGACGTCCAAATATCAGGAAATAAGACTCCAGATCCTGCCGTCTTTTGCCATTTTCTCCTCCAGCTGACTTCTGTATCTTCAGACAGGAGCATCTGAGCTTTGTTTCCACGGAGAATGACTTACAAGGCGTTCATTTTAATTCCTACTAGAGACCACTGCAGATGTATAAGAAATATGAGTAAAGTTGATCATTAATGTGGGCGGGTTACAGGTGAGAAAACATATTTACATAATTTAACGTATTTTAGTACTATTGTAATTAAAATAATCCCAATCTGTGTGTGAAGCTCCACCCATTAGGTTTGGTGAGTTTAATTTCAAAGAAGAAGCTAAAATAATTAAAACGGATGTTAGCTAGCAAAAAACTTTTAAATGGACATAAAAGCAAAACTGGACAGAGGTGAGTCCATATTGTGGACAGCCCTTCTAGTGAGGGGGAAGTTGGACGTGTGGCAGAAAACGAAAATTGCATGTATTGTGTTTGATTCTGGGTTTCAGGTTGCGAGATCGGGACAAAACCACGGGTACCGGGTTGAGTTGATTTCAATGGCTGCAGGTTGATTAAATTGGACCTGGGCTGATCTTTGGTGTAAATAAATTTGACGGCATGGACGTAATTTTGGGGGGGGACAGGGAGGACATGTCCCCCCCCACTTTTTTCAAAGTCAAGTTTTGACCCCTGCACTTTTTACCATCCAAAAACAATATTACGCTATATTAAATTGACACTGATTGAGCTCTAGGACCAAGCGGAAAACAACTGTTTGTGTTGAAGCCTGTTTCCCATTAGAGCATACTGTAAAGATAACCCCCCCCCCCCCCCCCTTGTGTCCCCCCCACTTCTAAAGTGAAAATTACATCCATGTTTGACGGCAATGCAAAGGTGTGGTCTAAGTCAGGTGTCACCAACTCCAGTCCTCGAGGGGCTACCATCCTGCTAGGTTTCTGTTTCCTGCTTGACCACAACTTACTGGAGTAATTTATTCTTCCCCTTACCATGTTTAACTTTGAACTAGCCTGTTAATTACGTATTCATTTCAATCGGGTGTGTAGGAGCAAAGAAACAGCTAACATGTCCAGGATGGTGTTGGTGACCCCTGGTCTAAGTTGTGCTAAAACTAGCCATTAGCCTATCAGTCCTCTGGGATCTAAACTCCTCTTAGAGGCTGTTCAGAACATTATCTACAGCAGGTATGATCATCGTTTACAACTTTGACTCAAACACCTGAAAATGACCCAAGAACTCTTTAATGAGGATGTCAGGTGTGTATTTGTTGTTGTGGTTTGTTTTAAGTACTAAACCCTCCTAAAACTAGCTGTCCGTGTGCTCTACTGCTCCTCCTAACTTCACCCTTTAACATCACAACGCGCATGTCATCTGTCTCCATCCTCCTTGTGGCCGGCTCCAGGTGCTTTGTGCACGTTTGCACACGAGACATGTGGTGGGCTTGTGGTGTTGCATGTCTGTCCGTATTCTCTCCAATCTCTCCCCTTTCTTGTCTTCTCTCATGTGAGCCAGGCCCTAGAGAGGCAGAAAGAATACTTTGATTGCATTAGGAATGAGAGGGATGAGCTCAGGGATGAGCTCGCTGACATCAAGGGGAAGTCTAAAGCAGGAGAGGTAGGTCCACTGAGCCCGAGAGGTTACGGGAAACGACTGGATGAAACGTAATCCTCCATTTTCTGTGTTTTCCCTTATTTGTTGCTTTTGTTTTTCTCTGTTTAGCTGGTTAGCTGCAACTTGTTTCACTAGAAATGAGCTACATAGCAATGTCACTGTTCATAGATGTTGCCATGGTAACATTCCCTAGTCATAAACACATAACAATATTGTTTGTTCGTTCGCTCACACTATTGTTCGTTCACCAGAACAGGTCAGGTGCTTTTCTGGAAACATGTTCAAAATATACAACAAAGGATTTTGGGACACGACCTAAAACAAATATTTTTGATATTTTCTGTTGATTTTTTACGGAATAGATCACATTATTTTGTTGGCTGTCCAACAGGATTCATTTCCACAAGCCTCTAACTGTCCTCGAGTTTAAAATGTGTGAATTTAACGTGAAATCATCACAGTTCTCAAGGCTATGGATGTTGTAGGGCTGTCGTGGTTGACACGTCTCTGCAACATTGCGTGGTCATCGGGGGCAGTTCCTGTGGAGTGGCAGACCGGGGTGGTGGTCCCCATCTTTAAGAAGGGTGACCTGAGGGTGTGTTCCAACTATAGGGGGATCACACTCCTCAGCCTCCCTGGAAAGGTCTACGCCAAGGTACTGGAGAGGAGGGTCAGATCAATAGTTGAATCTCAGATCGAGGAGGAGCAATGTGGTTTTCGTCCTGGCCGTGGAACTGTGGACCAGCTCTATACCCTTGCAAGGGTGATGGAGGGGGCATGGGAGTTTGCCCAACCAATCCACATGTGCTTTGTGGATTTGGAGAAGGCTTATGACCGTGTCCCCAGGGGCACCCTGTGGGGGATGCTCCAGGAGTATGGGGTGGGTGGCCTTTTGTTGAGGGCCATTCAGTCCCTTCACCAGAGGAGCGTGAGTTTGGTCCACATAGCCGATAGTAAGTCGGACCTGTTCCCGGTGAGGGTTGAACTCCGCCAGGGCTGCCCTTTGTCACCGGTTCTGTTCATTACCTTTATGGACAGAATTTCTAGGCGCAGCCGTGGTGTGGAGTGTGTCGAGTTTGGTGGCAGGAGAATTTCATCTCTGCTTTTTGCGGATGATGTGGTCCTCCTAGCTTCAACCAGCTCTGACCTTCAGCTCTTTCTGGGTAGGTTCGCGGCCGAGTGTGAAGCGGCTGGGATGAGGATCAGCACCTCTAAATCTGAGACCATGGTTCTCCACCGGAGAAGGCTGGCTTGCCAACTCCGGGTCGGGAGAGTTCCTACCTCAAGTGGAGGAGTTTAAGTATCTCGGGGTCTTGTTCACGAGTGAGGGTAGGAGGGATCGGGAGATCGACAGGCGGATTGGTTCGGCGTCTGCAGTGATGCGGACGCTGAGCCGATCTGTCGTGGTGAAGAGGGAGCTGAGCCAGAAAGCCAGGATCTCGATTTACCGGTCGATCTACGTCCCAATCCTCACCTATGGTCATGAGCTTTGGGTAATGAACGAAAGAACGAGATCGCGGATACAAGCGGCCGAAATGAGTTTCCTCCGTAGGGTGGCCGGGCTCAGCCTTAGAGATAGGGTGAGGAGCTCGGACATTCGGGAGGGACTCGGAGTAGAACCGCTGCTCCTCCGGGTCAAAAGGAGTCAGTTGAGGTGGTTTGGGCATCTGGTCAGGATGCCTCCTGGACGCTTCCCTGGAGAGGTGTTTCGGGCATGTCCTGCCGGCAGGAGGCCCCCGGGTCGACCCAGGACATGTTGGAGAGGTTACATCTCCAATCTGGTCCAGGAACGCCTTGGGGTCCTGCCGGAGGACCTGGTGGAGGTGGCTGGGGAGAGGACGGTCTGGAGCTCCCTAGTTGGGATGCTGCCCCCGCGACCCGGATAAGCGGAGGAAGATGACGATGACGGTCATCAGTTTCCCAGCTTATAGACGGAAATGCAAAGACCAAATTAAATCACCATTTGGTGACGGCATCAATCAACTAAAGTCCATCCTGAAACCATATTTATTTCATTCACTTTTTATTTTTATTTTTAAACAGGTTGGCTCTGACGGCTGATTTGTTGTTTACACAGTTGGAACAAACTTTTAAGATACCATGAGGAACGAGAGCTTAGAAGTGATTTCCTGTTGACTCCAAACATTTTACCAAACGTCTGCTCAATAATATTAGGTTATAACAAAATCTCTAATATATTAGTTTTATTACATTTATGGCCTCATCTCATAAAGATGTTTGTTTAGTAGAGCAGTGGTCCCCAAGCTTTGGGTCGTGACCTCATTGTGGGTCACCAGACACAAATCTGGGACTCTTGAGATGATCTTTAGAAGTTAAACGAAGGATATGAAACAGGAGCACCAAAGCGACATCTAGTATGTGGAGGGTGTAGGTGCAACAATAGAAAAGGTTTCCATCCATCGGGATGCCAGGTTTGCTGCCGATACGTGAATTTTTTTATTTGGAAACTACACACTGTCACTTTAAATAAATATATAGCTTCTTCTTAAAGAGCAAGTCACCCCCAAATAAATTATTTTTCCTGATAAACTATATAAATGCTTGTCTAATCGTGTTGTAGACACGTGTAGTCAATAGTTTTGCACTTTAGTGCATTTTAGTAAAAATTTAAATTTTCTGCCTGAAACTGTCAGTGTTGTGCCGTTGTCAGGTAAAACTCTGCACTGCATTTGAATTTAAATCTGCCACCGCTATTGGCTAAGAGGTATGCTATGATGTAAACTGGTACATTATGATGTCACAATGTCATGAGTGTGTGTATTTGTTAGTGGCTCCACCCTCTCGGTCTGCTAGGCAACAGCATTTGTTGCATTTTTCAAACATGAAGTGGGAGTGAAGTACGCTTCTTGTAAGGGGTGACTGGCTCTTTAAAGAGCAACTGACCCCCTACCAGAGTATTACTCCACTCCTACTTCCTGTTTGAAAAATGCAACAAATGCTGTTGCCTAGCAAACCGAGAGGTCGGGTTGGGCATCATTTGATTTTGAACGATTCCGATTCCTCGTTTCGATTCCGGTTCCTATCGATTCCCGATTCCAATTCTCCCGATTCTCAGAAGCCTCTGGGATGAGAGGCTAAATGTCTCCAACATATCCTGAAACGTCCAGCTGTTTTCAGCTAAAACTCTCAGGATGGTCATGTCCAGGATGACTGAGAACTACACCTCCATGCTGCAGCAGCATTCAGTCACAACAGGAAGTGAAACTTAGATGTAGCTGGCTGCGTCTGACTGCTGACGCTCCATGTGCGTTTTTATTTCTGAGACAAACTCACCTCACACAGTCTAGAGTTTGTTCATTAAATCCACCGTGTTGACGTATTTAACAAGTTTCCTCTGCAGGAGTTAAAGTTTACATTACGGAGTAAAAGTTCGGCAGACGTGTTTGTTTATATCTGGGTGGGGGGAGGGGAGACTCGGTGCTGCACACACACAGACAGCTGGTGGGATCAGCTCTGAAAAGCATTGATCACATTTTGCAGATCACGTTTATTTTTCACGGAGATCGGCCGCGGATTCCTCTTCCGGTCGGCATTCTAGGAATCGAAATAAAAAACTTTGAAGGATTCTGGGAAAAATGAACAGTTGGAACCGGTTCCAATCGATGCTCAACCCTACCGAGAGGGCGGAGCCGCTAACAAATACACACACACAGGCTCACAATGACATTGTGACATCATATGGTACCAGCTAACATTCTAGGGTACGTCTTAGCCAATAGGGATGGCAGATTTAAATTCAAATGCAGTGCAGTTTTTACCTGACAACGGCACAACACTGTTAGTTTTAGGCAGAAAATTAAAATTTTAACTAAAATGCACTGAAATGCAAAACTAGTGACTACATGTGTCTGCAGCACGATTAGACACGCATTTATATAGTTTATCAGAAAAAAAGTTGATCTGGGGGCAACTTGCTCTTTAAATAGTTTCATATTCAGCCTTTAAGTCATTTTCTCTATAAGTAACGTAAAAAGCTTCTTCCCAGCTTTAAGCTGTTTCTACTCTGACCTTTAGTTGGTTTCTTTTTTTGTGGATAGAAGCTGAAACGTTTAGGAAACACCAGTAGTTTTGTTCCTCTTTTCCCAGACTGAGTAATCTACCTTTTTTCTTCTCTTCAGAAACACGGGTTAGTCATCATCCCAGACGGCACTCCTAACGGAGACGTCAGCCATGAGCCGCTTTCCCCAGGGATCACTCTGGTCTCCCAGGAGGCCGCCCAGGTGCTAGAGTCTGCAGGAGAGGGTCCTCTAGGTGAGTGGGACCGTGCAGCTTCTCTCTGAGAATCTTCTTTTACACCTTTTTTTAGTGATGAGCAATTCAATTCAATTCAATAATAATTTATTTCATTCAAAGTTTAAATATACAAACTTCAAATCAGAATATAAGCATTCGAGTGAAATAGGGAAGGAAGAAGAAAAAATCTTACATGACCTACCCCCTTTAACTAAGACAAGAAAATAACAAAAAGTACAAAATAGCCTTGTACACAAAAAATAAACCGCCCTCTTACTTCCACAAATAATATCACTACTAAAACATTAATCCTCCATCGTCAACTCACGAAATCATACCATTTTAGCATTTTATCTTTATACATTTTTTTGAATTGATCAGTAGTTGTACATTTTTTTTTATTCATCATCCAGGTTATTCCATAATTTCACACCATATATTGGAATACACATTTGCTTTAATGTAGTACGAACAAATATCCTTTTAAACTCTGGTTTCTTTCTACTCTTTATCATTTTTTGGGATCAAAACAAAGAACCTTTGTAGATTAGTTGGCAGTAAATTATTTCTAGCCTTAAACATAATTTCCAAAATTTTCAAGTTAGCGAAGTCTTTGAATTTCATAATTTTAGATAGAATAAAATATTTGTTAGTATGTTCTCTCGGATTTGCTTTATGTAGAATTCGCAGAACTTTCTTCTGTAACAGAAACAAAGGATTAGTGTTTGTTTTATACGTATTGCCCCAAACCTCAGTACAATAAGTTAACTATGGTAAGATAAATGAATAATATAATGTCTGAAGCGTTGAAATTTCTAGAAAACCTTTGACTTTGTTTAAAATTCCAATACTTTTGGATATTTTTTGTTTTATATATTTTATATGGGATTTCCAAGTAAGTTTATGGTCCAAGAGAACCCCTAAGAATCTGACTTCATTTACTCTATCAATTAAAAAACCATCAAAAGCCAACGTAACTAAATCGTTAGTTTTTCTGTTACCAAAAACCATGAATTTTGTTTTATTCCAATTGAGAAATAATTTATTGTCATTAAACCACTTCTTAAGTTTAGACATTTCACAAACCATATTTTGAATAATAATTTCTAAATCATTTCCAGAACAAAATATTTTCGTGTCATCAGCAAACAATATGAATTGTAATACTTTGGACACATCACAAATGTCATTTATATATAGAATAAAAAGCTTAGGGCCCAACACTGACCCCTGTGGGACACCGTGTGTATTCTCTAGTGTATCTGAAATTTCATCATCTAACTGTACAAACTACTTAACCAGTCATGGGCGATTCCACGTATCCCATAATCCCTCAGCTTGGAGAGTAAAATACTATGATCTCAAGAGTCAAGAGTCATTTATTGTCATATTCTCCACATGTGCAGGACATACAGAGAAATGAAATTCAGTTTCAGCACACACAATTCAAAGATCAGACATACGTGGGTAAGACACATAACAAGAATTGGTGACTGCGGTCATTCGCAACATGAGTCGCGCTACCTTAATAGTTAGATGAAAAGGGTGTTACATGAGGAAAGTTCAGGGAGGGGAAAAAAAGGCATTAACAGGGTTACACCAGCAGGGTGTAGCACTCCAATGCAAAAAAACACCCGACATGGAAGCACAGACAGCACGTGTACACAGGGACGAAATTTTGATTTCAGAAGTGGGGGGGACACAGCAGGCTTGTGCGGATTTGGGGTGGGGGGTGTTATGTAAAGACCCCTTGACACGTCACGTGCCCATCTCAATAATTTTTCCATCCTCAATATATATATATATATATATATATCAGAGTTAAAAAATGTACAACTCTATTATTATTTTTATTCATTATCATTATTGAAGTGCAGTTTTGGCTGTTGACAATGGATAGGTCATTGTATTTATTGTTTTGGGTCTTTTTTATTGTTTTTGGTGCAACATTTTCTAACAGGGAGTGAGATTCCTTTTTTATTTAATTTTTGTTTGTTATTTTTATTCATTTAGAAGTTCTGGTTCTGGACATTTCAATGTTAAATGAAGGTTTCTTTGTTGCATTTTAAAGGGTGTACTTGCATTATTATGATATATTAACATTATATTAGTGGTTATTTTGGTCTAGATAATGTTGACAATGACATCTTTTATCATCAACAATTTGTTGGACAAAATATCGTCCAGCAAAATGTGTTACTTTCCCAGGCCTAGTCAAAAGTATAAAAATTATTTATACATAAACGGTCCCTCCTGAGATCTGGCCGTTTGTTCATTTGCTGTGTTAGAGGACATGCTGAACTAATGTTTTACACATGATCATCACCCTAACATTTGAGTGTATAAAAACATATTAAATATGTTTTTCCCTTAAAAGTGTTTAAACAGTTGTTGCATTTCAACACACAAAAAATAAATGGAAAAAGTAAGATAAATCTAATGAAAAGTGTACATCTTTGACATTAAGCTTAAAAAATCTGTTGACGATGATGATACTGTTCATTTTTCAGAGCTTTTTAATGTGAAAATATACATTGCAATAGATACGTTTACAATAAAGTTAAATGATAAAAGTTTTGAAGTTACACTTCTACTACTAGTAGTAATAATAATTATGATGATAATAGTAATAATAAAAAAATAATTATTATAATAATACGAATAAATTGTGTCTGACGAGTCAGTTATGTGGAGGAGATGAGTTTGTAAAAGTTAGTTTTGAGTATGTTTGTGAAGGAGGAGGTGAGTCTGAGCTTAATGCAGGGGTGTCACATGTTCCAACTTACGTTTTGACTTTGAAAGAAGTCTCTTATATCCACTTTTCGTTTTCTTGACATGCTGCCTCCTGGCTGTGCCTAACTACCAAAGACTCACAAATGAACACTTATTCAAATGTTATGTAATGGAAGCTGAGCTGAGCTCTGATATTACACAGCGTCTAGTTGACGATGTGACTCAGTACCGGTGTTCCCTAGCGGCTCCAAACTAGCAAAACAACGTGAGCACGTTCTGACTGTTTACAACTTGAGTGACAGCAGCAACAGCCAATAATACGTTAGCAAGTATCAGCAGAGCCAATAGATTAGCTTTTGGGTGGGTCTAATAGGAAACCGGTTTCCGTTTCGGTCCTAGTGCTCAACCAAATCCATTTAATGGAGCGTAATATTGTTTTTGGACGGAAAAAAGTGCAGGGGACCAAAACTGCCTTTTGAAAAAGTGGGGGGGACATGTCCCACCCGTCCCCCCCCCCCCAAAATTACGTCCCAGCGTGTACAACATCAGAGTCCAATGGGGAGGTGGGGGTGGGCGGGATCCTGAAGCCTCCAATGGGAGCTGCCACTGCGGCGCATCGACCAGCTGCAGAACAACAGGTGGGAGGGAGAGATAAGGGACAGAGAGCACATTGAGGTCCCTGCAGATATAGCCTGAAGGGAGAGGGTGAAGGTCGGGACACAGCATCTGTCGGCATTCCTCCTTTTGTGGGGGTGTGTTGAGGCAGCCTTGAGAGGCTGCTATGGCGTCAGATAAGGATAAACATAACTTTGTTTAGGGTAGACAGAGATAATCTTCCCCTCCGTCTTGGAGTCTCTAAGTGGTCATTCATGTCCACCAGTGAAGCCAATTTTACATTCCACATCCCCGCATCGTCCGGCGACCCTCTCCAAGATCAAATCCATCTTGCGCACTAACACAGGCAACGCCGCAAGGACATTGTCCAGCTTACGGTTCACCTCGAGTAACGTCCCAGTCTGTGAGGTCACCGCACGAGCGGCACATTCCGTGGGTACGGGTCGCACTCCAATCGCTCCCGTCTTCCCAAATTTCCAGAAAACCAGATATCCTCCCACTCCAATCAGAAGAAATCCAGTGATCATCAGGCCGAATATCCACAAATCTTCCACGTCCTCGATGGACAGCTGAGAGAGGCACACGATTCGCCAGACCTCCCAAGAATCGAGTGCATATCCCGATGCGAATGTCCCCTCGGGACAGGTGGGAGCCCCCTTCTCCGTTCTCATCGTAGAGAAAATTTTGTCAATCACGTTGAATGACCAATTAATTAAGTCCATATTTCCAAAAAGAGAGTAGTGGTTTCAGGAGAAATGCAGAGAAGTGCTCTGTAGGCAGACAGGACAAGAGCCTTGGGGAAGCCGATAAGGGAGCTGAGAAAAAAGCGTCTGTACTCTCTGAAGGCTGAAGGCCTATTGTGTTGAATGCCTTTTTTAAATCAATAAACAAACCCATTGCTGATGAAAGTTCTTCATTTAATTCCGATAAAGCCAGGGATGTAGATTTATGTAATCGAAACCCATACTGACTCTCACTCAGGATGTTTTCCTTCTCAATAAAGTTATCAAGTTTCTGAACAAACCATTTCTCAAGCACTTTAGAAAACTGGGAAAGCACTGAGATTGGTCTATAATTATCAAACTTATGTCTATCACCATTTTTAAATATTGGAATTCCTTTAGCAGTTTTCATTTTTTCTGGAAATGTACCACTCTGAACAGACCAATTAAATTCCACTACCTCCGCTCCGCTCCGACACGAACGCCGGAGCAAAATCGGTCCCGTTGTAGTCAATCAGAGCAATTCCACTACTGCGGCCACTGCCGGAGCACGGCCGCAGTAAATGGACAGAAATCACAAACGCCCAACAGGAAAAGGAGCAAGCACAACTTCCGTTTTTCACAATAAATCGATAAACAAAAGGCGTTTTTTGTTTCATATGCACAGGTTTAACAACTTTTAACAACTATCAATGGCGGCTGAAGTTTAAATGCACAAAAGTAAGCCATAAATACAGTTTCTACTATCAAAGTAGTCACACTTTGTTGATCCAAACACTGCTGATCTCTCAACACAAATGATGGGCAGATTAAACGGTTCATTTCGATGCTTCTCCCACACAACGGGTGTTTGGATCTAACTTCCGCGTTTATTGCTCGGACTGTATCGCAAGATCTCGAAAATCCCGCGCATGCTTGTTTGCGCACCTCAGGTCTCCGCACCGGAGCGGAGCCGTTGTAGAGCGGGTACCAGTAAAAAATGAGTTTGGAAGCGAGCGGCTGCGGAAGGCGGGGGCGGACCGGAGCGGAGCGGAGGTAGTGGAATTTGGGGGTGACAGATATAAGTGAATGGTTTAACAACATAATCAATAGTTTTCTTTACAATCATGTCAATCCCGTCACAGTCTGTGGATGTTTTACTTTTACTTTTCCTTACTATCGTCAAAACTTCATTTTCGCTTACATCCCCTAAAAACATAGACTGTAAAATTTTGCTCCCTCCTTGTATTTTTCCAGCGTCATTAGTTTGTGTTTGCAGAGATTTGGCCAAACTTGGTCCTATGTTTACAAAAAATGAATTAAGTTCATTCGCCACCTCAGCTTTGTCCCTCAAGATCTTATCTCCGTTAGTAAAGAAATCTGGATAACGGGCATGCTGAGACCTGGATCTTATGACACAGCATCTGCTGTTTTCTTCACTGTAGATGTCCGACTAAGGAAGTTGGCGGAGGAGAAGGACGAACTCCTGGCTCAGATCAGGAAGCTGAAAAACCAGCTGGAGGAGGAGAAACAGAAACACTCGAAGGTGGACGGTGCTTACACAGATGGGGAGGGGATGGAAAATGGTACAGATCTACACTTTATTGAGATGCAGAGTAAGTCGGCCTCTGGTCCTCGTTTAAAATGTGTTCAGCAAAGAATAAGGAGGCTTTTTTTCCCAACGTGAGTGGTTGGTTTTCCTCCGTAGGAGACATCAACAGACAAATGAGCGAATACAAGTTTAAGCTTTCAAAAGCAGAACAGGAAATCGGCACAATGGAACAAAATGTAAGTGACCTTTTACTGCTAATGGGTCACGTTAAAGTAAAAGCTTCTAAGCTGTAGTGTTGGCTTTTATTCAGATTAACAGACTTGAAGGCCAAGTGTCCAGGTACAAGGCAGCAGCTGATAATGCAGAGAAAATAGAAGACGAACTTAAAGCAGACAAGCGGAAGCTTCAGAGAGAGGTAAGAACGCTCCGACCCGGTTGGTGTTCCTCAGCATCACCTGACTGAGTCGTTGACCTCGCCCTTCTGCCCACCCACAGCTGCGCACAGCTCTGGATAAGCTGGAGGAGATGGAGATGACCAATAGTCACCTTACAAAGCGCCTGGAGAAGATGAAGGCCAACAGAAATGCTCTTCTTTCCCAACAGTGAGGCCAGGAAGCGTCGCGTCATTGCAGAAGCCCCTAAACTCACACCACACACCTCTGACTGCTACGCTGCATCTGGAGCACTCTCGGTTTTCCGCTGCAACACTTCAAGACGTGTAGATAACCAAAAAACACTTCACACTTGTAGCAGAGGGAGGACAACGAAAAGTGGAAATGTTTATTTTTTTGTCTTTTGAATATAAACCTGGGTTTTGTCTGGGGAGCTGCCGGCTTTTGACTCAGAAAGCAAACTAATTTAAAATGATTTTTGGGAGAAACACCTGAGGATATTTCTCTAGTCACTACTCAAACCTTTGTACTACATCATGTTCTTTAGGGAACTCGGGTTCCCTCTGGCTTGGGGTGCTTGGCTGTAACTTTTTGACAAGTTGCATGAATGGGTATAACGATGCTTTTAAATACTATTAAATCACTTTTGCTGCTCCGGGTCTGCACCTTCCTAGCTTCCCCTCACACAGTGAAGTGCCTTTTCACTTTAGGAGAAGAGGGGCGGGGGTGGGCTGTACCGCTCGATGAAACAGTTGTTTTAGCAGGTACGGTACGACGTATTTAAAAAGGTAAAAGTAAAAAGGTGCAGTCGGTATATGGAAATATTTAGAAATAACTGTCTGCTGCAGGTTCTTTGAAATTTTCAAGTATTTAAGGAATTTCTGAAAAATAAATGTATGATTTACAGATTTGTGCATTTATTTTCATTCATGGTGTCATTTGGTGCATTGAGCTTCATGTTGGATATTAATGATCAGTGATTAAAATATCAAGAGTCGAAGTTTGCACTAAAGTCAGACCAAGAAACGGTGAAAAAGTGACATCTCTGACTAAAAGGTTAAAGGTCGGTCAATTAGAAAAAAACTCATATGGAAGACTTCATTATGTGGACAGGAGGAGAGCGATTTAGGGAAGTTTACCCATAATGCACCACGTGCGGTGAAAAACAACTAGCTGATGCCAGCATTCAGCACAGAGGTGGAGGGTTGATGGTTTGGGCTCCTTGCTGTCGAGTCCTCCATGAACTCCTCTAAAAGACCAGTCTTCTAAAAGCTTACAGCTGATTGGACCAAACCAGGTCAGAAAATGGAACCATGACCCCAAACACAGCAACAGAACCAGGTTAAAGTCCACACCAGAACCTGACAGCACCTTGTTTGGACCTTCAGAGTTGAGCAGAAACAAAATGTCACCAAACTAAAAATAATAAGCCTTGAGGTATTTTCTGTATGAATGGCGCCATCTTCTGGACACAATAACTAAATTGTCTTTGATAAAGAAACTTAAGATATTTTTGTTTTTATTTGCAGAACAAGTGTTGCAAACATAAATAGCAGCATGTCTGGGTTTGTTTTAATCAGTTTTAGCATCTTTCAAAAACTTTGTAGAGATCAGTGAGGTTAGCGATCTGCAGCACCGTTCCATCCTCGCTGAAGATCTTTGGAGGGCTGAAGAGCGTTCGAAACGCCTTAAAGATGACGTGTTCGACTCTCCAGCGCCAAGAATTCCCCTCGGCACCCTGAAACATTAAATCCCACCTATTAGGTCAGAGGTCAGCCACGTTGTAGGTATTACAGGAAGATGAGTCCCACCTGTTCCTCGCTTGGATCCAAGATGTACTGCTTCCTGATGGAGTAGAACATGCTGCACTCCTTGCTGAAGTCTCTGAAGCAGTCCTTTTCATCATCCCAGTTTACCTGCAGAAAACAAAAACCCGTAGGTTACACCTTTGTGCCGGAGACTGTAGTTAGAATAGAGGCCATCTTGGATCTCACTTCAGTCGCAAGGCGGAGAATGAACATCGGGAGGCCCTCCATGATGGGAGTGTATGAGTCGAGGAGGAGCGGCAGGCCTGTTAGATTTCCTTCCTGTTGGGGGCAAAGTAGTCAAATTTAGTCATAATTAGGGCTGCACAATATATCGCAAATATATTGTTATCACGATATCAGTGTATCGCAAAGAACAGATAAATATCGCAATGAATGGTCAGCTCAAATCTTTGCTACATAACGCATTATGTCAATCAAACGGAAGCATGATGTGTTTTTAACAAATCAAATAGAGCTCTTCACGCATTTGGCCAATTGGGTGGGTTCTCATAGGTTAGACGCCCGCCCCCGAGGTGGACGGCACTTAATTTTGATGGTTAGCAAACACCTGAGTTAGCTTAGTTCTGCTCTTTCTGCTGATTCTGCTTTTCCCGGGACCCACTGATTGCCTTTTCTTGTTCATTTTCTTTTTCCCTTTCCTCAGATCTTTTGCTTTCCTCTTTTTTATGATTTTTTTTAGTCATTTTTTGAGTTAAGTTTGTATTTATCGCAAGTCATATAGTCATCGCAACATTAATCACTGTTATCGCATATCGCAGGTTTTCCTATCATCGTGCAGCCCTGGTCATAATCAAGTTTGGAGGAGTCGAGGTGAGGGTTTCAGACCTAAGAACACCAGAGCAACTGTAAAGCACGATGGTGGCAGCATCATGCTGTGGTGTGTTGCACAAAGTGGTTTAATAAATCAAAGAGGACTACCTTCAGATTCTTGACTGGTTCTGGTTTCTGACTGGATAAGTGCTGGAGTGGCCCGCGCAAAACCACAACTTTTTTCCATCTGCCGTTGGCACCTTTCCTGCCTTAATTTCTACTGATGCTCCTACGTAACCGCATTTCACTTACACAGCATGCTAGCTAATATTGTCTGGTGTTTTTATGGTGAAGAACATAAAAACCCAAGAACAACAGATCTAAACTTCCAGAACATGTCCAGAATCTCCTCAATCTCTCCGGTCTGCCGGCTCTCGACACACTCGCACACGTTGCCATGGCAACAAACTTACAGCTCTGCCAGCTGACAGCGAACCGGCTGCGTTCGCAGGCAACAGGTCCATCTCCTGAATGTTTCCGACTGGAACAAAACCAGACTCTAAACAGAAGATGTGGAACAACTCCTTAAAGAGCAAGTTACCCCAAAATCAACGTTTTTTTGCTGATAAACTATATAAACGAGTCTCTAATCGTGCTGCAGACATGTGCAGTCAACAATTTGGCACTTTAGCTCATCTTAGTTAAAATTTTAATTTTCTGCCTAAAACTGTCAGTGTTGTGCCGTCTTTAGGCCAAAACTCTGCACTGCATTTAAATTTAAATCTGCCATCGCTATTGGCTAAGAGGTACACTAGGACGTTAGCTGGCACATTATGATGTCACAATGTCGTTGTGGGTCTGTGTGTGTGTATTTGTCGGTGGCTCTGCCCTCAAGTCTGCCAGGCAACAGCATTTGTTGCATTTTTAAAACAGGAAGTGGGAGTGGAGTAATACTCTGGTAGGGGGTGACTTGCTCTTTAAATGAAATTTGCAAACTGAGCGGAACCTTCCATCCGTGACCACAGGAATCCCCGCTCTGGCTTCACTTCCTGTCGAGCTGCACCAAAAACAGGCGGGGGGGGGGGGGGGGGGGGGGGCATTCACTATTACTGGATGAGGTTTTGCCCTGGTGATTAAAATTATTCCCTTTTTTCCCAACAAAACATTTAATTTATTGGTTACCGTCTGTGCATTTCAAGCAATATGGCAAAAATGCTCCATCAGATATTTAAAAGCTAAATTTGTGCTGCACTGAAAAGAAGAAGAGTGGACAAATATCTGCCAGAATCACACCAGATGCTTGTTGATCACCCCAAAAAACTTCACACACCTGATCTATCTCCAGAGAAAAGTAGTCCTCCAGCATTTCAGCCTTTTTCTTCAAAAAATCCACAATATACTGAGCTAAGCCTTCCTTGGGGCCGTCCTCTTCAGTCCAGCCGCTGTCCGCCGAGTCCAACGCCAGCAAGACGAGGTCATAAAGAGGAGCTGGTTCCTGACAACAACAAAAGAACCATGATGAATTTACTGTTAAAAGCTGTGCAGCCCATTCTAATCACACACAGTCTACTTACAGATAGTCTGAGGACGCCAAAGTTTCCAAAGTCGTAAATGAGAATTTGGTAGAAAAGCTCCTGGCTGGATGAGAGTTTGAAACAAAAAGGTGAAACAAGGTGTAAAGGAAGTGAGCTGGACTGTTTGGTTTGTTCCTGCAGCTCAGACCTGAGCTTAGTGGCGTTGAGCAGGTAGAGTTTGGTGTGATGCTGGATTAAAGCCCACTGCGGATTGACACAACCCACGAAAGAGTGGCTCTGCAACACTTCCTGAAGACCTGGGGAAAGAAAAGGTTGAAAATGAGAAATGTGGAATAATTTACGCAGATTAACAAAGAACACCCCATAACTTAATAACTTAATTCGGTCAGCATACTTCCATGTACGTTCCATTAACCGTCTCCGTCCCTCACTGACCCCTCACACTGCCGCCATTCTCGTCCACAGCCTCGTCACCTCCCGTATCGACTATTGCAATTCACTTCTATATGGTCTCCCCAACAAACTCCTTCATAAACTGCAACTGGTCCAGAATTCAGCAGCCCGTATTATCACCAGAACCCCTTCCTTTCACCACATCACCCCGGTTCTCCAGCAGCTTCACTGGCTCCCAGTTAAATTCAGGTCCATCTTCAAAATTCTCCTCCATACCTTCAAAGCTATCCACAACCTCTCTCCTCCATATATCTCAGACCTTATGAGTATTCACACCCCATCCCGTTCACTCAGA